CTCGGCTAAGCTAATGCGCGATCAGCTCGCCAGCCTTGAGAGGGCTAATGAGGCAGCAATAAAGCGTAGGCAGCGTAGAAAAAAGCGGATACAGAAGCGAGGAGTACTTCAAAGGGAGCTGGAGAGGATCTACTCGCTCAGCGCGAGGCTGATCAGCAGATTGCTCATGAAGAGCGTCAGAGAGGAGAGCGATCAGGTGTTAGCCGCCAGGCTTTGGCGCGCTGTAGTAGGTGCAGAGAGACTGGCCATAACTCGCGTACGTGCAAGAAAGATACTCTAGGTACTGCTTAATCTATTATGTTAATATGTAGTAAAACAACTATATTGTGGTGGAACTACAGGCTTATAGAGGTGCGCAGGTTTGGTGGGGTGCGGCGCTCGCTTGCCTGCGGCGCTCGCTTGCCACATACGTTAAGTGAGAGTAGGCGACACAATACATAACATATGAAGAGGCCGCTCGAGTTCACCAAATTCACTGAGAACATACATCAGATTTTACACACCGCAGACATTTACACCAAATTTTACTATCCTCTTGTTGTTTCGGAACCTCGACACTTATACAGCCTTGTAACAAGTATTATTGGTCAATCATGAGTAGCCAAAACACAAGCATACAGACTACGGGCACCTCCAACGGTAGTACTGTGGCGTCCTCACCTGCTACGTAAGTGTTGCTGTTCATATTGCTATTATATTGTTAACAAAATATAGAGAGCCAAGTCACACCGTCCAGCTCTCCGAAGCAGCACTAAGGGAGCATAACGCCAACGACGCCTTGAACGAGCAACATTGGGCTGCAGAGGAAAAAAGGAGGAAGGAGAGACTGCAACAGGCGGCAAAGGAACTTGGTTTCGAACTTGACGCACTTGGTTTCGAGAGGTGAAGATTGGTATGGATTAATGCTGATGTGGTATCGAACGTCTAACGGATTCTTTCTTGGATGGCTCCAACAATACTCTTCAACCCGGCCAGCCTCGTCTCTCTATCCTCCCCCAGGTACAGACTGGCAACGGGCCAGGCGTGTATTCCGCCTTTTTCTTCCCAACTATCCACTTGTTTGCCTGTTTTCTCTAGTAATGCAATTAAATTTCTGGTTTCTGGCCCGAGCACCTCCTCGCTGCCGTATAAAAAGTACCAGCCCTTGTCTGGTGACGCCTCAGCCCATTTGTCAATATCTTTGCAGTTGCCAGGCGAAACCATTGGGTCGTCTGGAGATACTTTGCTTCCAATGTATTGACGGCCGTATAGCGCCAACGAGGAGCTGTTGAGATAATCCGACGCAGTGTTTCTGTTGTTGCGCGACAATATCGTGACCCACGGGCTGATCATGATTGCGAGTCCAGGCTTTTGGTGACGCAGTTCGGGGTGCTCAGACAGATGAAGCAGGAAGCTCAACATCAATGTCGCGCCGGCAGAGTCTCCACCAACAACAATGCGAGTGGAGGACTGGGCCCAGGATAGTACATACTCATAGCCAGCCACTGTCTCGGAGAGCTGAGTGGGATAAGTCGCATCTGGCACAAGCGTGTATTCTAGGGCAAAGAGTGCCGGATTGCGGTACCCAGCGGCTTTGAGTAGCGCCACCCAGGCTAGCAGGAATTCCATGTAAAAGTAACTACTTCCCATGGAGAAACCGCCCCCGTGACAATAGTAGACGATCACATCAGGCTGTTCTTGTTGATTGTGCACAATCCACACGCCTTTGCAGTTTGGCCGCTTGATGTCGACCCACCGGATGGGGCTGGTGACGAATCCGTGCCGCAACATGCGGAACCTCAGGAATGGAAGTGAAACCTGCTTGGAGAAAAACACCCGGCCTAGGAAGGCGGGCATGTTGGCGAATGCATAGCGGACGCAGCGGATCACGAGGTCCTGGAAGGGTGTGGCCTTTCTCACCCAGGGGCTGCGGTGTTCATAGGGGATCAAGAACCGTTCGCGGATGAACTGGTACGGGATGACAAGCACTTTGAGGGCTATCAGAATCAGCACATCTGGGGATCCATAGGCGTTGATACGGACCAAGTGATGGTAGTTGGGGGAGGAGCCATGTCAAAAGGGGTATGAGGCCAATCTGGATGAGCAATTGCGGCGCGAGGAAGACGAGAAAAGCGAGGCAGTCCAGATAGGACACATGGCTCAGTATCATGTTCGCGACGACGGGTAAGGGTGAAGTCAGCCGGCCTCGCTCTCTGTCCGCGCCATGTCGAGGGACAACGGCGATGACGGCGTCAAAGGGTCCAGCTAAGCCACAAGGGCTTAGCGCCTCAGCCACCCCAAACTCAATGCTTCTGCGCTGACCAGGGCACACGTCACGCCACGGCAAAGCCTTGGGCGCGGAATCCGATTTTGCACTCGAGACATGGTGAAGAGCGAATGCCGCAACACGGGCGCCTTGGGGCGGCGGAATCGCAGCACGTGACCGCCGTTAGTGCCTGCGCGCACAGACCAACCGGTCGGTCGCGACTCTCAGAAAACTTGCGCGACTCACTCAGCTGTCACTACGCAAACACGACGCCAGCGACTGCAATCACCCTCGCCTGCTTGCCTGCGCCTGCGCCTCGAAGGACCGTCTTGCCTGCCGCTTCTTCTGCCCCTCCTTTCGTACGCTATTTTAATGGAATAAAGCCCGGTGGCGACGTCAGTCTCAGTTGTTCGCGCGGCAGCCTTAGCCCCAAGTCGCGAGCTTGCAGAACCTCACCATGGCCAACCCCGCAGCAGACCCCAAGGCAGCGCCGCTTGCCGACGAACTCAAAGAGCTTGCTCTGTAAGCAGCGGGCTGCGATGCATGCATGTCTGGCCATTGCTGACTTGTCCAGATCGCTTCCCACGACCGCCTTTCCCAAGAACTTCTTCTGCGCTCTCTGCAACCAGCTGGCCTTCGACTCGTACAAGCTAATCTGCTGCGCCAAATCAGTCTGCTCATCATGTATGCACCCACTGCGGCCTTCGCTTCGCACGACTCGCGCCCGCTGACATTGGCCCAGGTCAAGCAAACCTCCAGTTCCCCACCACATGCCCGTCGTGTGACCACTCGCCGCTCGAGGCACATTCGTGCATCGTGAACAAGTCGCTCCGCAACACGATGCGCGTATGGCTGCAAAAACAGAAGAAGAAGGAAGAGAACAAGGCTGCGACAAAGCCAGCTACCCCGCCTGTCGAGGTGACACCAGCCGCGCCAGAAGTGCAGCCGGTGGGCGAGGGCGCAGAGAAGCCTGTAGACAGCGTTGAGGAACCGTCCAAGGCGGAGAACGGCGTTGCTGAAGAAGTCGCTGGTTCTGCGGAGAACGCGGAAGAAAGTGGACAGCGCGCCGGCTCTGCCTCGGCCCAACCGAACGAGGTAGGTACCCAGTGTCTTTCATTCTGTTCTCGCGTAAGCATGTTGGATTCGTACGATAAAGAAAGAGGAAAAGAAGAGAAGAAGCCGAAGAGACGCCACGTCTCGAAGAATGCAAAACTCGTTGCCATGCGTGCCAATGACCATGAAGTGTCTCTACTCTACTTGTTGCTGTCACTAACCTAGACCAGGACGGCACCTCTCAAGAGACTGGAGCAGAGCGACGCGGGAGCACCGCCTCTCAGAATGTCTCGAAAAGCACCGACCCTGCAGCAGCAGAGAGCTCCACTGAGGAACAGAACAGCATGAATGGGGCCAATGGCATGACAGGCCCCAACCCCATGATGAACAGCATGCAGGGCCAAATGGGCTTTGGCTTTCCCGCTCAAGGTGGCTTTAACAACGGCATGGGCTGGAGTGGCATGCCCAACATGATGGCCAACGGCAGCTGGAACGGCATGGCTCCTATGGGTATGTTACAACACCAAACATGCTAGCCAGCGAGCCAACGCTAACGTCCATCTAGACTTTAATAACATGAACGGCATGGCGAACGGCATGTACGGCAACTTTGGGGGAAACATGGGCATGGGCATGAACGACATGTCTGCCATGAACATGATGCAGTATGGGGGCGGTTTTGGCAATGGTTGGAATGGCATGGGAGGGGGCTATGGAAACTTCAGCGGGCCCAATCAGATGGGTGGCTATAATCAATCTGGAGCATATCCCGAGATGATGAACCAGTTCCCCAAGAATAATTTCCCAAACCAGAACCAGAATCGTTTCCATGCCAATCAAGGGGGAGCACATCCCCAGCGAAACAACAGGAATGGCAGCCAGGGTGGCTTTGGTTCTAGTTTTCAGGGCGCGAATACCCGTCCGGGCAGTCAAAACGTACGTCCTATCCAACAACTCTCTCGCTCACACCCATATAATCGGGTTGGCAACACTTGGAGAAGCCGAACTGACGCCACTTCTTTCACGCAGCGTGACGGCCAGTCGCCTGACGGAAACGCCGCCTCTGCTCCTGAGGCCAAGGCCGAAGGCGAGCAAGACAAGGCATCCGCAGAGTCCACTGAAGAAGGTAAGGAGAGCGGCGACGCCAGTGCGGCCTCGAATGAAGCGCAAAAGAACGAAGCCAGCGCTGGTCTTGATGCAAGTCAGGCTGCTGGCAATGACACTAATGACACAGGGGACGGTCCTAAAGAAGCAGCACAGGATGGCGGGCTGAAGCCGATTCAGACTGTCGATACGGGCAGTGCAGATATGCAGGATTATGAACAGTCAATGATGGGTAATGGCATGCACGCCGGCATGCCATATGTGCCGGGGATGATGAATCAGTTCCCGGCTCAGCACATGAATGCGCCCTTCAACCCGAGCATGAACATGAACATGAACATGGGATACAATGGAAACTACGGTCCTCGTGGCGGATTCAACAATGGCGCGTATGGCGCTGCGACGGTTCTGACTGGCCAACCTCCGGAGCCCATGGGTGTCGGAGTCAAGGGTGCGCCCACCGGACCACGCGCGATGCGAGAAGGCCGGCCCAACACTGGATTCTCAAGCCGTGTCACCAGCGCCCGGTATGCTCCACCACCTCCTCCGCCTAAGAGCGTTGCATCCGCCCAAGAAGCTGCTCCCAGCAGCCCGCAGCGAAGGGTTCGATCGTAAGTCCATGTTTGCATAGACATCAGCATCCGCTTGGCTGACCATTGTATAGAAAATCTCCCCAACGAGATGATAGTATGCGCGTGAAGGAGCGGTCGCCCACTCGCTCTCGATCCAGGTCGCGAGCGAAAGAGGAAGACAGGGAAGAGCATCGTGAGCGATCGCGTTCCGCAGACCGTCACTCTAAACGTGATGACCGTGGTCGATCAGTCACGCCATTAGATGAGGATTACGACAGCCGCAAAGAGCGCAAACACCACCGCTCATCCCGTTACGACGACCGTGAGCAGGAGTATGATGACCGGCACCGCGACGAGAAGAGCAGCCGCGGTGACCGGACACGGACCGCTTCAGCAGACTCAAGGTACCGCAGCAGTCGCCGTGACAAGGACAAGCATCGCTCGTCGCGCTCGCACCGTGACAGAAGCAGAGATCATAGACGCCGCCACCGCTCCCGATCGCCCCGTCCTGATGACAAGTACGATGACGAGGACGCCTACGTCAATGGCGAGAAGGACTCCGATGGTAGCTCTCGACGCAGGCATAGAAGCCGCGACAAGGATCGGCATCGTGATCGATCGCGCGACCGATCACGTGATAAGGAGCGTGAGCGAGACCGCAAGGACCGCAAAGAGCGAGAGCGAGACCATGACTACGATCGCGAGAAGGACCGTTCACGAGACAAAGACAAGGAGCGCAGGCGTCGCCGCGACCGCGAAGCTGAAGAAGAAGAGCGCGAATACGATGATGACAAGTACCGCTCCTCTCGCCGGAGCCGCAAAGACCGAGACCGTGAGCGTCGCGACTACGACGACCGTGACCGAAAAGAAAAGCCGCCTGCTCAAGAGAAAGAAGAAGACGTTGTTGGCCAGATGATGAAGAAGCGTGCTGTTTCGCCCCCTTTGAATGCACCTACGGGCCCATCAGCAAATGGCTTCAGCATCAAGGGTCGTTCGAAGAATGCCATGGCACCGCCTGCACAGCCTCCTACCGGCCCTCGGGCATTCCAACCCCCGAAAGGCCCAGCTGCTGACCGAAACAAGGACCGCACCAGCGAGGCTCGAGACCACCGTAGAAAGAGCAGCGTCAGCTCTCTTTCCACGCCGCCGACTGGCCCTGCAGCCAAGGAAAAGGACACACAGGACCACTACGCTGCTGAGAGGGAGCGCAACGCCCGCGAGCGCGACAGCCGTGAACGCGTCGAGAAGCCATCTGCCAAGTCCCTGCACGCACGCATCTCTTCCTCATCCTCATCCTCACGCCCCGCCCTCTCCACCAAGCGCTCCCGCGACGACCTCGACGACGAGCCCGCCGTCCCCAAAGGCCCAAAGGCCGACGTCAAGCCCCCGACCGGACCTGCATCACATCGTGACAAGCGCCGCAAGAGCGGCACCACGGGCGACGACAACATTGCGAACCTGTTCACGGCAGGCCTGAGGAAAAACGCAAAAGCAAGGCGTGGCGGCGTCAGAACAGAGGGCGACGTGGAACGAGAAATGATGGAGCGTGAGAAAGAGAGACGGTAGGAAGAGCAAACAAAGGTTCTCTGCTCGAAGAACATTTCTTAACGCACTTACTTATTTAAAATCAAGGCAGAGAGTGAAAGAAACAGAGAGAGAGAGAGAAGATAAAATAACTACTTAGGCAATCCCCCCCCTGCGCACGCGCGTGCAGTGCGAACATGGTGTCTTTCCGTCTTTTTTTCTCTCTCTCTCAGGGGGCTGACTGGATGGGCGTGTGTGTATGTGTATGAGTGAGTAAGTGTGTGAGTGGGCATTTTGCACACAGGGTGTACCCTGTGAGCCATGCGCGGGAACAACGGGAACTTTGTTCTTTTTCTGAGATGATTTTCTTTTTTCTTTCTCTCACTCTCACTTGCTGACCTGTGTTTTTTTGTTTTGTATTATACCCTTCATTGCTAGGAATGGGGCTTTGAGATGAGAGTATGTATGCTGTAATGAGACCTAGGGGACACCACTATATGTATCAATAAGAACCACACATTTAGTCAGAGATGTCGGCGTGCGTTGAAAAATCGTGGTATCATCTTTTTTTTACGTGTTGTTGTGCTATGGCGAAGGGGAGGGGGGGGGGCTATGTATGCACGTTTTACCGTCTGTGGTTCACAAACTCTTTTTGCTCACCTCCGAGCCTGGACGCGACGACAGTGGCCTCCCTGATGGCCTTTGCAACGGAACCACGAACGCCGTCTTCCTCGAGCGACATCAGGCCGCCGATGGTGCAACCGCCAGGGGTTGAAACCTTGTCTTTCAGCACGGCGGGATGCTCGCCGTTGAGTACCAAGCCAGTGGTTCCTCTCATCGTCTGCGCAGCCATCATCTGAGCCTCTGCCCTGGGCAAACCCATGGCGACCGCACCATCCGCCGCCGCCTCAAGCACCAGCGCAAAGAACGCCGGACCAGATCCACACAGAGCAGTCGCAACATCCATGTTCGCAGGCGGAAGCGTGGTGACACGGCCAATGGAGCTGAAGATGAACTCGACCAGCTTCTGCTGCTTCTCGCTGAGCGGAGGATCTGACGTCTGAATCACAGACATGGATTCACCGACAAACGACGCAGTGTTGGGCATGACTCTTACAACCCTGCATGCGCCCTCCGTCTTCTCCGGCCCATCGGGGTACAAGAAAGCCTCGATTTGCTCTCTGGTTACGCCCGCTAAAATACTGACTAGCACTTTGCCCTTGAGCGCCTCCCTCATACCCTCCTCGCCTAGAATCGTCTTGAAGCCGTGGGGCTTGCAGCTTAGCAGCACAATGTCGGCTTGCTGGACACCCTTGAGGTTCTCGTTTGTGAGAGTCTGGAGCGAGAAGTTGTAGTGGCCGAGGGCTTTGCGAACGTTCTCCTCGGCGGGGGCCCACTGGTCGCAGGCGACGAAGTTTGAGAGATTGGGAACGTCTTTGGGTGCGGAAGAGGGGTCGATGGTTGCTTTTGTGCGGGCGGACGCCAGAGACGACATTACGCCGCCCATTATGGCGATGCCCATTGTTCCTAGGTGGTGTGTCAGTGACCTGGAATAGTGGGTATTGAGAATGGATGATCCTTGAGACCGAATATCGTTTGTTTGAGTAGCCACAACTAGTATGGAGTTCTACAGTGTGGTTCGACGGTACTCATAACTTCTTGAACATGACTGCTCATGTGTCATGCGGGGCATTGGAGGATATAGACAGCAAAATATAACATACCTGAGCCGAGAACGGTCAATGTCAAGGGTTTGGATTCCTGTGTGTTCGCCATCTTGAGTGGTATTTCCTGTAACTTCCCTGGGGCAGTGTTTGAGTGAATGCGGAGGATGCTGGCTGGGTGACTTCAACGCGAGATCGGCGGCCTTCCCCACGTTAAGTAAATCCATCTCAAGCTATGACCACCAAGCCGACGGTATGCGCGCCCCAGCTCTCCCAGCTCTCTCCACTTCACACCAAACTGTCGCTAGTTCGCCATACGCCGCCACGGCATACTGCAATAGAAGTAACGAAACATTCTAACCCGGATACTCGTCGCGGAATAACTGCCCGCCATGGCCGATCCATTTGAAGTACGTCAGCGCTTCACGACACTCCTCGCGCACCTCAGCGCATCGCATACGTCCCTGCAAAAGGCCGCTCTGTACGCGTTAAAAAACCGAGAAATGGACGAGGACCTGCATTCTTGTATTCTCGAGCAGCTCGAACGCAACAATATGAATACGCGCGCGAACATCATGTTCTTCATCGAGTGTCTATGCGAATACGCCGTCAAAGAGAACAACGCGGGAGACAGCAGCGCAATGGGCTACGTGCGCATGCTCCAGCGCGATATTCTGGCAGTGGTAGAATGTGTGGTGGGCGAGGAGGGTGCAAACATCCGCGTTGTGCGTAAAGTGCTTAAGACGCTAGAGAATCTGCGTATCCTCATGCGGGAAACGGTGCAGGAGCTGGAGGCTGTGCTCAAGTCAAGAGAAGTAGCGCACCCGTTCATGGCAACGGATGCCGCGGGAGATAGTAAGAATAGTCCGGCGCCGACCGGTAAGAATGGCGGACAGCGTATGGATAAGCGCCAGATCGAGCAGAGGATAGAGGAGGACAGGGAGAGGCACAAACGGCTCAGAGAGAGTATTTGGGCTGTTCCGGGCGAGGGGTATGAAGAGTTGGACAAGCTGTGGGAGGAATCAAGCGATATTAATGAGGATGATTATACTACGGCGAGGGAGGACGCAGAAGAGAGGAAAAAGGTCATTGCGTATGGTTAGGATCCAAGCAGGGATGAGGAGAGGATGTTGGAAAGGGTGAAGAATGGCGCTAGTATTGCAGCCGAAGATGCTGCTTTCAATACCGCTGGTGCTGGAGAGCAGCCTGTAAAATGCAGGCACAGCGGGCATGCGTGGACTGTTTAGCATGGTGAATAGACGGGTTTGGAAGGCGTTCACAGGTGGATATGGATGGATATCACAACATCAGTCAGGCGTTACGGTGGAGAGATACCACGGGCTGTCTTACGACACCCCATTGTTATTGGAGTTTTGAGATATACTGAATACATCCATCATCATTCCAAACATATCTGTACACGCCCACGCGCAATGCTATGATACAGTGTCCGTCTCTTGTTCCAAACCATCGCCTTTTGCTTTTGTATCTCTACTCCAAGACAACAGTAGCACCGAGCGCCTTGAGCGTCTCAACAATCTTCTCTGCCTCCTCCTTGGGCACACCCTCCTTCATCACCTTTGGCGCACTTTCGACAAACTTCTTGCTGTCCACCAAACTCAGGCCGAGCATGGCCTTGACCTCCTTGATCACCTTGGGCTTCGCGGCCGGGTCGAACTTCTCGAGCTTGACGTTGAAGAGCGTCTTTTCTTGGGCTGCGGGCGCGGCTTCCTCCTCCTCGACAGGGGCAGCGGCGGCGGCGGGGCCAGCGCCTCCTGGGCCAGTAACAAAGCCGCCCATGGGCATGTCGGGGATATTCAGCCGGGTCTGTGGGTGGTCATCAGCATGAAGTTCTTAGTGAACTGGCAATAAATTAAGCAGCTAGCTTCCAAGCTGAGTACAGCAGACCCTTCTCGTTCTAGCAGCATCATCCCACTTCTTCAAATATCCATGCATGCCTTAACAAGGAATTCGTTTCGCCCCGGACCTGCAATTGCTTTCCCCCGCCTCAATTTCCGAGTTTCTCCATACCTTCAGGGTTGACACCAGATCCGCAGTCTCCAGCAGAGTCAATTGGCTAATCTGGTCGACAATGGTGGCAATCTTGGGGTTTGTGGGAGCGGCCGAATCCGATTGCCATCTCCGCTGTATCCTCTGCTGTGTGGCGCCAATCGTCGGCCGTACGTATGCGGTCTGCTTAGCGGTGCAGATACAGCGCCTGAGAGCGCGGGATGCTGGTGCTGCCATTGTGCTGCCGAGGGACGCAAAGGGTCGATGATGGGTGTACGTTGTAGTCGTGCTCTGCCATCATGAGATTTTGCGGAGCGGATTACGCCGAATCGGGTTACTGCCTTGGCGCTGGCAGAGGATCCGCAAAAAAGTTAGAGAACTTCGAGGCACGCAAACCTCACACGCCACAACACCCACCTTTGTGGCATAATCAAGCGTCGAAACTATGGGAAGGCGCCCCGAAAGCCAAACACGACACAGTCCTTACAGAAATGGAAGGAATCAATAAACGCAGTGCCGGTAAAACGGTCAATATCAACGCGCTCGCCACGGAAGCGCTCAAGCCTGGCTCGACCGACGAGATTTTCGTTCAACATGGTGGATTGTTCGCAGAGCTGTGCGCGCGCTGGATACAGTCTGGCGCAGAGACCGAGGCCAAGGTCGCAGCTTTTGGACGAATTTTACCGCTTGCGCCTCATCTTGCCGAGCACGTGGAGCGGTTTCTAGAGCATAATTCGAATTCGTCCATAATTGGATCCCAAACTGCGGCAACTTCAGAAGCACCCACGCTCACTTTGCGCGATTCGGATCTAATCGAAGTACTGCTTGGAACCTTTCGACTCGTCAGCTATGATTGCAGGAACTTCTCTCACTATGTGCGGCCGCGCGTTTTGGAGAGTTTGTTCCGGCATTCGAATCAGGTTGTGCGATATGTGGCTGTGCGAATTTTTTGTTTGTACATTCATGCAGCAGACTACGCGACGCAAGAGAAGGTCAAGAGGATTGTAGGAGACGGAGACATTGAAGGACTCTGGGAAGGACGCCAAATCGACTACCGTTTCCTGTCATTATGGGAAGAAAAGAGATGGAAGGATCTCCAGTCAAATCTGCACCAGGAAAACGCAAGCGCCACAACGGATTCTGTATCCACAGACCAAGAACTATCTCCTTACACCGTCAATGTCAGTGGCGTCCTTTTGCCCCGACTAGATGGAGAGCCCTCGAAGGAAAGGCCTTCTGAACTCGTCCCGACAGCTACCACAGAAGAAAACCTGAAGAACATCGCCCATGGACTTCTCCAGCCCAGCCCAATCTTGCTCACTGGTCTTGCTGGATCTGGAAAAACTCTACTTACCCGGCATTTTGCCTGGCAGCTAAACAAGCTTGAGAAGATGGTTACTCTTCATCTGAACGAGCAGAGCGATGCGAAGCTTCTGATTGGAATGTATACTACCGGGACAAAACCGGGGACATTCAGCTGGCGAGCAGGTGTTTTGACTACGGCTGTTCGAGAAGGGAGGTGGATCTTCATTGAAGATTTAGATCGAGCGCCCAACGAGGTCATCAGCACACTCCTGCCACTGATAGAGCGCGGTGAGTTGCTCATTCCCAGCCGAGGGGAGACTATTCGAGCAGCGCGGGGGTTCCGCATCATTGCAACCATGCGAAGCGCACTGAATCCGCGAGGCCAGGAGATAATACCGCGCCAAAACATGATTGGAAATCGATTCTGGAACTACATCACAGTAAAAATGCCCTCACTAGATGAGTTCAGGCACATCATCCATGCAAAATACCCAATATTACAAAAGCACCTACCTGGTATCATGCAGGTTTATGCGCGGCTACTAGAACTTTACTCGGACGCAAAGTTTTCATCTGAGAATGGCACGTCGCTTCGGGCCATGACGCCAAGAGACCTGTTGAAGTGGTGCGATCGCATAGCTGTCCTCCTCGAACAGGCCGGCTCGTTTAGCGCTGCCCAGAAAGACGACATCTTCATGGAGGCCTTCGATTGCTTTGCGGGAAGTTTACGGAGCGAGACTGCACGCCAGACGGTGATGACCTGTGTAGCTGAAGAGCTGCATATTGATCCCCAGCGACGCGATCATCTGCTGAAGAATCGCGAGGTAAAACTTCACCTGCCTTCAAAGACAACGGCTTCTGGCACCATTCAAATAGGCCGCGCGAGATTGTCGAAGCACAAATCATCAAAAAAGACAACGACAGGGCGACCATTTTCGACCAACGACTACACCTTACGATTGCTAGAAAAGGTGGCCGTGGCAGTCGACCGTCAAGAGCCACTTCTTCTTGTCGGTGAGACAGGTACTGGAAAGACAACATGCATCCAATATCTAGCCGAGCAGCTGGGCCGTAAGCTTGTTGCATTCAATTTGTCCCAGCAAAGTGAAAGCGGTGACCTACTCGGTGGCTTCAAACCAGTCAATGTTCGCAGTCTCGTTATTCCGCTTAAAGACGAGTTCGATGAAATCTTTGACACGACTTTCTCCCGAAAAAAGAACCTGCGCTTTCTCGAAATGCTCGGCAAGCGTGTAGCAAAGGGTGAATGGAACCGTGTTTGTACACTTTGGCGCGAGGCATTGAAAATGGTGGATGCAGCCCGAAAATCACACGAGTCGCAAACCTCGTCCCCAGATCCTGAAGGTGGTCAGCCCAAGAAGAAGCGGAAGACTGATTCCTTACTGGCCAACTTCCCTACCGCGCGGTGGGAAAAGTTTGCAGCGGACTTGCAAAATCTAGAAGCTCAGCTCGCAAGTGGCTCGGAGGCATTTGCCTTCTCTTTCCTGGAAGGCAACATCGTGAAAGCAGTGAGAAATGGCGACTGGGTGCTTCTTGACGAAATCAACTTGGCTTCTTCGGACACATTGGAAGCACTTACAGATCTGTTGGGTGGTGGTCCAGATGGCAATCCGTCCATTCTGTTGACTGAAACTGGCAACGTCGAACGAGTGGTTGCGCACCCTAACTTCAGAGTATTCGCAGCGATGAACCCAGCGACAGATGTGGGAAAGAAAGATCTACCACCTGGAATTCGATCAAGATTCACCGAATTATACGTCGAAAGTCCGGACGGAGACGAGAAGAGCTTACGCAACATCGTGGAGAAGTACTTGGGCGGCGATGGTACAGACCCAGCTATTGTTCGAGTTGCACGCGACGTCACCAGCCTCTATCTGGAGATCCAGAAACTTGCCAAAGCCAATATGCTTGTGGATGGTGCAGACCAGAAGGCTCACTTCAGCTTACGTACCTTGACACGAACATTGTCTTACGCTCGTGACATTGCCCCGTTGTGTACTGTTCGAAGAGCGCTATATGAAGGCTTCCATATGAGCTTCTTGACATTTCTGGACAAAGCCTCAGAAGACCTCGTTGCTCCACTCATTACCAAGCACCTCTTCCCACAGAAAGCATCCATGAAGGCTGAGCTTGGTAAGCCACTTCAGCAGCCGGCTGATGGCCGAGAGTACGTCAAGCAGGGCCACTATTGGCTTCGTCAAGGCGCACACCAAGTTGAGGACTATTCCCATTACATCATCACGCCGTTTGTGCAGCGAAACATGAACAACCTCATTCGAGCAGCTTCGACACGGAAGTACCCAGTACTGATTCAGGGACCTACATCATCTGGTAAAACGAGTATGATTGAGTATCTCGCGAAGCGATCTGGCAACAAGTTTGTTCGCATCAACAACCACGAACACACCGACTTGCAAGAATATCTGGGCTCTTACATCTCTGGCCCTGATGGTAAGCTCATATTCCAAGAAGGTATTCTTGTACGGGCTCTGCGGGAAGGCCACTGGATAGTCCTGGATGAACTGAACTTGGCACCTACGGACGTTCTTGAAGCGCTGAACCGTCTTCTTGATGACAATCGAGAGCTTTTGATTCCAGAAACACAAGAAGTCATTCGACCTCATGATGACTTCATGCTGTTCGCTACGCAAAATCCGGCAGGTCTTTATGGTGGCCGTAAAGTGCTATCTCGTGCCTTCCGCAATCGTTTCCTAGAACTGCATTTCGACGATATCCCAGTGGATGAGCTCACTGAAATTTTGCATCGCCGTACCATGATCCCTGAGACGTGGTGCAAGCGCATTGTCAAGGTTTACCGCGAACTCTCCACACTCCGCCAGGAGAATCGTATCTTCGAGCAAAAAAGTTTCGCGACGCTTCGAGATTTGTTCAGATGGGCACAGCGAAAAGCAGACACAATTCAAGACCTTGCAAATAACGGATACATGCTGCTTGCTGAGCGTGTGCGTAAAGAAGAAGAGCGAGTTGCAGTCAAGAAGATCCTGGAAACCGTGATGAGCGAGAGAGGCCCCAAGGTGGCGATCGACGAAGACGAGATGTTCAGTGCGGATAGCTTGTCAAAGATGGAAGGCTTCAGCCAGGGAGCAGCTATTGATAACACCAATGTGGTGTGGACCCGCGCGATGCGTAGGCTCTCTGTCCTGGTGGCGCAAGCGCTTCGCAACAAGGAGCCGGTTCTGCTCATTGGAGAAACTGGATGCGGAAAGACGACTGTCTGTCAGCTACTCGCAGATCAGTTCAACAACCAGCTTCATGTTGTCAATGCTCATCAGAACACCGAGACGGGTGATTTGATTGGTGCACAGCGTCCCATCCGAAATCGGGCTGCCATTGAAGACTTGGTCAAAGATCAGGTGCTCGAAGCGCTTGCCAATGTCCCCCGCGACAACCTTCAGCATGACCCAAACTCATTGGGATACGATGACTTGTTGTCGTTATATGACAGTATCATCAAAAGCCTGCCCGATGCAGTTCCCGATGAAGCCCAGAAGAGCATACTCATCCACCGTGCTAAAGCTGGTGCATTGTTCGAGTGGGCGGACGGTAGCTTAGTGCATGCAATGAAGCAAGGCCACTACTTCCTTCTTGACGAGATTTCGCTGGCCGACGACTCTGTACTTGAACGCTTGAACAGTGTCCTGGAGCCGTCACGTACAATTCTGCTTGCTGAGAAGGGACCTACAGACTCTCTGATCACGGCAAACGATGGCTTCCAATTCCTCGCGACCATGAATCCCGGTGGAGACTACGGAAAGAAGGAGCTCTCGCCAGCGCTGCGCAATCGTTTCACTGAAATCTGGGTTCCCGCAATGTCTGATCTCGATGATATTCTCGAGATTGTGCGATCCAAGCTGAAGCCCGAATTGGTGCATCATGCCGGAGTCATTGTATCATTCTCGCAGTGGTTTAACGACAAGTACAATACCTCGGTCGCTTCCTCCATATCCATCCGTGATACTCTGGCATGGGCTTCGTTCGTCAACAATTCGACTCATCATGATCCCATCTTTGGTATCGTGCACGGCGCTGCGATGGTATTCATTGACACTCTAGGTGCCAACCCTGCTGGGCTTCTAGCAATTTCTGCATCTACGATTGAAGCTGAGAAGAAAGCATGCCTTCATCATCTTAGCAAGCTCCTCGGAAAAGATGTCGCTCCCATGTACTTTGGTACGATTGACATCTCGAACACAGACGAGACCTTTCAATTAGGCGCCTTCTCCATCCCGAAGTTCTCATCAGCAGCGTCACAAGCGTCCAACTTTGCGCTTGAAGCTCCAACTACACGCTCTAACGCCATGCGAGTGGTACGCGCTCTGCAATTGCCCAAGCCAATTTTACTGGAAGGAAATCCCGGTGTGGGCAAAACTACACTTGTAACCGCACTCGCGAAGGCCATTGGAAAACCATTGACACGTCTCAATTTATCTGAGCAGACGGATCTGATGGATCTTTTTGGGTCCGACGTGCCAGTAGAAGGCGGCGCAGCGGGTACGTTTGCCTGGCGTGATGCACCTTTCCTCAAAGCGATGAAGAGCGGCGATTGGGTTCTACTGGATGAGATGAATCTTGCATCGCAGTCGGTGCTTGAAGGTCTCAACGCTGTGCTCGATCATCGTGGTGAGGTTTACATCTCTGAACTGGACCAGACATTTCACAAACACAAAGAGTTCAGAGTTTTCGCGGCACAGAACCCGCATCACCAAGGTGGTGGTCGCAAAGGTCTCCCAGCATCTTTTGTCAACCGATTTACAGTTGTGTACGCCGACGTCTTTCGACCAGAAGATCTGACGCTCATTTGTGAGAAGATCTTCCCAAGCATTGAAAAGGAAGAGGTTACCAAGCTCATTCGATTCGTTGCTGAGTTGGACGAACAAGTCGTCAATCGCCGCGCTTTTGGCAATCTCGGTGCACCATGGGAGTTCAACTTGCGAGATACACTGCGCTGGCTGCAGCTCCTTGCCGGGACCGAATTTCCTGGCTCAGCACGGGACTTCCTTGACATTATCTTCCTGCAGCGCTTCCGTGCCGAAAGCGATCGCAGTCGACTTCTCAAGCTATTTGAGAACCAATACGGTGCACACGACTCTCGCATGAGCCTATTTCACAGCTTGAGTACCAACGCAGTCCAAGTTGGCCTTGGTTTGCTTCCTCGCGACATGGCTGTAACGCGTCCAGATGCTGTATCAGCACTCAAAGTCCCGCAGCTCGGACCCATGGAAGCGCTCGTGGTTAGTGTCAAGCAAAACTGGCCAGTCATCATCGTTGGTCCTCCCGGCTCAGGCAAGACCGCTATGATCAATCAGCTGGCAAGCTATGTTGGCACTGACTTGGTTACGTTCTCCATGAACGCAGATGTGGATGCAATGGATCTTGTCGGCGGATACGAGCAGGTTGACGCAATGCGGGAAGTACATCAGTGTCTTCAGAAGGTGGAAGCGGTCATACGGAGACATATCGCAGTATCCGAGCAGCCGGCACGGACACACATCGAGCTTCTTGAGCTCCTGCAGGCTCAGTCAGTCATCCTTACTAGCGATAACATGCGCCCAATTCTCGATCTGCTTGCAAGTATTGATGCTGAAGGAGCTGAAATAGCTCAAAGCTTACAGAATTCGCTTCAATCTTCGAATGAGCAGATCGATGGCGCTCGTTTCCAATGGGTCGATGGAATCCTGATTCGCGCACTTGAGCAAGGAAAATGGCTGGTTCTAGACAACGCCAACCTATGTTCAAGTGCTGTCTTAGATCGCCTGAATTCTCTTCTCGAACCCAATGGCTATCTTTCCATCAACGAGCATTCCACTGCTGATGGTGAGGCCCGCATCGTCCGACCACATCCGAACTTCCGCATTTTTATGACCATGGACTCGAAGTACGGGGAACTCTCTAGAGCCATGCGTAACAGAGCTGTCGAGATATGCCTACTTGAGCCAGGACATGAAACTGATCAGGCACATACACCAGCCGTGCAATACGCCCTTGACTCCACCAGTTATCGCTTCCGCAGCTTTCAAGGTCATGAAGATCATCTCTCAATGACGCTGCAACATCAATTTGAGAGCTTGAGTGTGCAGGATAATGATTTGCTAGAGAGCTTTACACGCCAAGTTCGACAAGGTCTCGTGTCCGGCGTACAGACTCAGATGAATGGTGTCAGTGGCCATGGCCCAATGCAGCTAGAGCCTGCAACATCGACAGCACGACTGGAAGATGCAGTTACACATTTTGCTCACTTCCTCAAGAATTCGTGGGCAGCGCGTGCTCAATCGGTTTCAACTCGACTTGGGACAGATGCTTTGGCCCAGCTCGTTCCATTCCATCCATTAGTCAACGAGCTGTTTGTCAGTCGCACTGAGTCATCTCAAGTTTTGAGTAAATTCGGTGCTTCGGTCTATGAATTGATGCTTGACCTGTACAACATGCAGAAGGCAATCCAAAACTTGCCATCCGCGCGATTTGAGCGGCGCAAGGAAAAACAAAAGCTGCCTGCTTTTCTGCATAGTTACTGTCAAGGTCTGGGTAAACTCATAGATGGATTCTGGCAAGAATTTCAGCACGATCAGCTACTTGATCTCTCATTCCTCCAGCCATTACGGAAAATGTTCTGGGCTTTCCATTCACTCGCAAATTCTTCGACATTCGATCGCGCAACCTTCCAGACATATCTTAAAATGTTGGCGTCTGTAATCCCCACATCTGGACCATCTTCTCCTATTACCCAAACCTTTTCTTCGACTCTGTCCAAGCAGGTCAATGCGTTCGGATCCGACGTTCAATTGACAACTGGGTTAGGCATGGAACGTATCTGGCGTGTGTTCAAGCCGTTGACACCCAAAAATCAGAGCCAGCTCGCAGCTATCCTCGAGCTTGAAGCTCTGGCTGATAGGTTCGATGCTATCATGTGGCAATCGACTTTGCGTGTAGATGAGATGATCCAGATCCGCGAACGTATCGCCAGTTCCCTGGACCTAGTTCGACGAGATCAAGCGGATGCTACAGAGCTCATCACTGCTCTCAGTGCAGCGATGCAAGAGCTGGAGCAAGGCATTGGCGAAGACAACCTGGTCATCACACCCTACTTTGAAGATGAGTTTGAAGGACTATGTCAATTCTTGGACGTCGTATCTCTTGATGGATCGACCGCGCAAGACGCACTGCCCACTGCCGCCGTCTTATCTACGCGAGCCAAGTCATCTCTTTTTGCCAGAAGACCCACAAAGTTCTCTCACACGATACATGGAAAATCTCAGGATGCAGCTGAACAGTTTGCGAAAATCTATCGACACCTCGGCCTCACGCGTCAGTCGGCAAATGCGATGATACTCCACAGCCGATTCCACATCTCAGTACTTGGAAAGCTGCATGGTGCCGATGAGGTACAGCTCGCACAATTGGACCGTTTTGAATCAGAGTTACAGGTGCTATCGCAGCAAATGTCGCTCGATGCGGGTCACATGACCCACCACCAGGCTGATGCCCTGCAAGCTCTTTATAGAAGCATTTACGATCAGCTGATTGCTTCTCATACTGGAGAGATTTTCCAAGCTGTAACCAAGGGTCACATCGAGTTCCAACCGGATGTTACTGTTCATGACACCTATCGATCAACCTTACAGACTGGCGTCGCGTCATGTGCTCAAGCTATGGAATCTTCAATTGGTGCAACGGCGTGGATACAACTAGGACTGTTTGGTTTGCAGTTGTATGTCCCCAACTATCCACATGACCCTGCCCTTCGACCAATGATTGAGCGCAAGATGTTCAATGTCGAGAAGGATACATTGCTAAACGCATTGAATGCTTTGAGACAATTCCAAATTGACTTTACTGGCCAGGACACCAGTCTCCACATCCGACAGATTGAGGAGACGATTAACAACATGGGCCAAGAACCACCTGTACCAGCTATCGTACGCCCTGAAAGTTCGGAGCTTGACAGCCTGCAAGGCGAGTTTACAAACCTGCTCAGCACCATACAGCCTCTTCTCAACAACTCAATGTCGGTGCATGAAGCAGCTCGTGACCAAACCTTGCAGCAAAACCTTGTTCGTATCGTTCAACGCTTGTCTGAAGGGTACAGATCGTACGACGACATCACAGACACTGCAGTTGGGTTCCTTGTTTGTCTTCAAATTGGTCTGATTCTTGGTCAAGTGGAAGAGGATCAACAATCACATAGTGCGGTCAGAAACAGCCTGGCATATCTGTCTTCAAAGACGCCCTTCTTTGGACGTTCACGTCCGTTGGAGAGACCAGAGTTGCTCCTGATGTCAGTTGAGGAGGATCTAGGCCAGCCAAACCATGCCGTTGATTTGAGGTGGCATACACTCCACTCGATGCTCTTTTTCAAGAGCACGGACCCTAAGACTATGACTATTCCAACGGCCAGGAACTTACTGAACGACTTGTTCGCCAGTCTGTACGGTGATTGGAAGACGAAGCTGCTCCAAGATCAGGAGAAAGAAGCCAAGAATTCAAGCTTGTACACATACCGAGGCATGGATGACGATACGGAAGAAGAAGACCCAACTCTTCTCCCCAATTACGAAGCGGATCAAGAAAACCACGATAAGCCACCGAAACTACCGTCAAACTCCCGAGATTATGCAATTCGACTTGCAGACATCCATGCAGAGCTTTTCATTGATGGAAAGAACGCTCCAGACTCCATCAAAGCCTTGCTAGAGTGGTGTGCCGCTGAGCTGAATCGTGTTTCGGATGGCAGAAGTCATGGTAGTAAGCATGAGGATGCGCTACCAACAATCTACCTGGAGCTGGAGAAGAAGGTCAATGCTTTGTCCTCAAGTTCCGCAGGAAGACACTACAACTTCTACTTCGATTCCAACCTTTCGGAAGCCAAGCGATTCATTGCACTCATACATTGCATTCAATCTCGCTACCGCCAGATCCGAAGTGTATGGCCTGAGCACGCTACCCTGTCGGAAGTCCTGCGCACATGCGACGAAGCTCTTGAATTCCGACATGTTGACCCTGTGGCTAAGTTCATCACTAAAGCTGAGAAGCTCCATGCCTATATGCATGAGTGGCAGACGGTCGCTAGCAAAGAGTACAGCGCCGCGAATCTGTACGATGATCTCACAAAGCTCCTTGTTAGCTGGCGAGAGCTTGAGCTCACTACTTGGGCAAGGCTCTTTGACATGGAAGAGGACAAGTACCGTAATGACGCTAAGAGCTGGTTTTGTGTGGCATACGAAACGATCATTGCTGCATCAGAAAGTATCCAGACCGAGAAGAGCCTACAAGTTCATTCAAAGGAGCTGCTCAAATTGTTGGAAGGCTTCCTTGAGACAACTACACTGGGTCAGTTCGAACAGCGTATCAAGCTCCTGCAGCAGCTTCGTCAACATGCATTTATGCGTATGGAAGATGTGAACGCCTTTCAGACCGTTTACGCCTCGCTCGACAATTTCCTCGCCTATTACTCGCGCTTCGAGAAGCCTGTGCATGAAACGATTGCGAAGGGCCGAGAGGGACTGGAAAAACAGATTGCCGATGTGATCAAGCTGGCAAGCTGGAAAGACACGAACATTGAGGTGTTGAAGCAGAGTGCAAAGGCCAATCATCGAAAACTCACCAAGCTGGTCCGCAAGTTCAGGGCATTGCTCAACCAACCAGTATCTGGTATTACCAGAGCTGGCTTACCAGAGGAGACACACCCTTTACAAGACATCTCGATAGCGAGAGTGAGCACATCAGTCAACCCTGCAGCGCTTCAACTTTGTGAAAGCAGCGTACCGGGATGGGCGGAACGACCTGCGCGCTTCAAAAATTTGGACGTCACCTCTTCGATGATGCGCAATCTGATCACTCCGAAGGCGGATTCTGTTGACGGCGCTTCATACATCAGCGAATTCATTGGCGAACTGTCAACTTCCATCGTTGAACTTCAAAAAGCCACGCCCACCACGCTGACCGAAGAGAACAAGGCATCCGTGCAGCATCTCAAAACACAGAAACGGAAGCTCTACGCCGATACCATGAAAGAGCTACGACAGATGGGCATCAACTCTAACTTGAGCGTGGATACACTGGCAAAGCAAGACGAACTGTCGACGATTCTTTCTACAATGCCACTGGTTCAGTGTGACCAAGGTGTCGGACATGCAGCAGAGTATCATCTACACAAAGCTCTCAATGCTATGCCACAAGTCCGTGCAGTGACCAGGGAGCACTCTGCTGATCTGACTCCAAACGATGTTGCAAGAAGTATCGGATATTTGGAGGGCTTACTGCATGCTACGGTTCGACAAAGAGCAGTATTGAGCAAAGCTTCGCAAAGCCTGAGGCAGATCTGTATGCCACTGTCGGTGGTTGCAGAGCTAAGCAACCCTAATCTTGGTGACCTTTCATGGGTTCACGAACAACATATAGAAGCTACTGTCTTCACACAAACCCAGTTGCGATGGCTTTCGGCGATGCTAAAGACCGGTACTGACATCGTGAATGCGCAAGCCAAGCTGGGAAAGACAAACGAGCTCGACCTCTTGATCCGACAGATGATAGAACGGACCGCCAGGACCTCTGAGCTTGCAGATATGCACGACCAACTTCCAAAGCTGCCACCCAACCTCCAATCCTCGTCTCATGAAGCTTTAAGCAATTCCGTCAATACACACCTGTCGGACCTTCGTGATACGTTCCAAGGATGGATTGCTGAGAGCGACGTGGCAAGACCAGTGCTTCGACATATCGAACCATTCCTCTTCACCTATCCTGCAATCAACACTGCTCCCTTTTCTAAGAAACTACAGATCACATTAGACGGACATGTGAAGGATGTATTTTCTTCTCTCGACCTCATTCTAGGATCGATGCAGGATGTCGAGGCTGCGATACAGGCTATTCCCACTTCCACAGATGACGCATCCTGGCTTGTCAAGGAAGAGCAAGCACTTTCTGCTGCGCTCAGTGCTTTACATGCCCCACAAATCTGTGAAGCACTAACTTCCCTACTCGACAAGATGCAATATCTCAACGAAAATGCCAATCTGAGGGCTATGGCTGCTCTAATCTCCTCCGTTAAGCCTATCCTGGAGCAGTATGTGGCATCGCACAAGTACATTCTCGGTCGCTTCGATGCGCTGCATGCATCGACGGCAAATCTGCTACATCGTTTGTCAAAATCTTTCATACAAGTCGGAACACAGGGCTTCTGCCAGCCCTCGGAGAAATCTGACGATGCCCAAAAGGGCAAGGACGACAAACTTGAATCCGGAACCGGTCTGGGTGAGGGCGAAGGTGCCGAAGACATCTCCAAGGATATTGAAGATGACGAAGATTTGGACGAGCTAGCGCAGGAACAGAAAGGCGAACGAGAGGGCAGTATCGAGGAACAAGAAGATGCTGTTGACATGGGAGACAAAGAAATGGAGGGCGAAAGCGAACAGGTTGAGGAGAAAGAGGACAAGGGCGATGAGTCTGGCGAGGAGGGAGATGATGATGCACAGAGCGAAGTTGGTAGTGTCGACGACCTCGGACCTAGTGCAGTCGACGAGAAAATGTGGGATGACGGCGGCAAAGAAGACGATGCTAAGGACAAAGAAGGCAAAGAGGACGTTGGCACCGAAGATCAAAACGAACAAGTTGCTTCTGAACAAAAAGAGAAGGAAAAGAGTGGAGAGGAAGGAGAAGAAGGTGAAGAGGAGAAGGAAGACAAGAAGGAGGCTCAAGAAGACGAAGATATGGAAATGGAAGGTGAAGACCAGGATGAAAACGTCGGCGTTGGCGAGACTGAGCAGATGGATCCGCATGCAAAGGAAGAGGAGACTCTGGATCTGCCTGAAGATCTCAACATGGATGGGAATGATGACGAAGGCAAGGATGATGATGACTTTGGGGACATGGATATGGGCGATGATCTCCCCGACGATCAGCTTGATCCCGAAGTTGAACCGGACAAACCCGAGACTATGGATGAAGACATTGGTCCTGAACAGGAGGGTGAAGAGGAGAAAGAGACCACTGGCCACGTCGAAGATGAAGAGCAGAAAGAGAGCGAGCAAGAAGACAATGACGAGGAGCCAATGGACGACGACGCTGTTCCTCTGCCAGATGAAAACGTACCAGAAGATGAAGCTCGCGACACAAAAGACACGGACCAGAACGATCCTAATGCTGAAGCGGGGGCTGGCATGGATGCAAATGAAGAGGCGCACAAGAACAAGAACGAGCAAGCCTCCGCCAGTGCTGCCAATCAAGATGAAGGCCAAGAAGGGGATTCTGCCCAACAGCAACAAGCACCCACGACCGAGGAAGGACAACTCGGAGAGACAACAGCTCCAGAAGCTGGTGGCCATGGAGACCAGCCCGAAGAATCCCGTGAGAAGCAGTCTTTCAAGAAGCTGGGTGATATGCTTGAAAAGTGGTACAACCAGCAGAAGCAGATTCAAGATGCAAAGGAGAAAGATGAGACTCAAGTACAGCAGATTGATAAAGAAATCGACATGGCTGATGCGGACTTTGAGCATCTTGAGAACGAAGAGCAACAAGCCGATACTCAAGCGCTGGGTACCGCGAACGAGGATCAAGCAAAGGCTTTGGACCATGACATGGCAATGCCGATGAATGAGGAAGAGGAGAAGATGCCCAGTCGTCCTGAAGACAACGACGAAACGATGGAAGGCGACAAGGATGTTGATATGGATGACGCTGAGCACCAGAAAGATCAAGAACAAGAGGAAGATGCTCAGCAAACACAATCCAATGCAATGGAGGGCCAACCCCAAGCCTTTGTCGGAGAGCAGCGTCCACCGCTAGAACAGGAGGATGAAGACATGGCTGATGCAGTACCATTTGGTGATGACGCTTCATCAACGACTTCTTCTGCCGACAACATCGAAGCTCAGCTATCAGTAACGCATCTGGATCCGTCCTCCATGGATCCCACATCCGCACGCGCTCTATGGCTCGCACATGAGTCGTCTACGCACACTCTTTCCCAACAGCTTACGGAGCATCTTCGTCTCATTCTCGCGCCAACCCTCGCTACCAAGCTTCGCGGTGACTTCAGAACCGGAAAACGTCTAAATCTCAAGCGCGTCATTCCTTACATTGCTTCAGGCTACAAACGAGACAAGATTTGGCTGCGACGCAGTATGCCCAGCAAGAGAAGCTACCAGGTCATGATTGCACTGGATAACAGTGGCAGTATGGCTGATAGTGGGGCTAGCGGCCTCGCGCTCAAGACGCTCACACTTGTTACTCGATCTCTCTCCATGCTGGAAGTCGGTGAAGTCAGTGTGGTCGGGTTTGGCGATCAAGTGAACGTTGCACACGATTTCGATAAGCCGTTCACCTCCGAGGCTGGTGTAAGAGTCTTCGAGCAATTCGGCTTTGACGCTAAGAAGACGAATGTGAGAGGTCTGGTCGACAAGAGTCTGGAGTTGTTCAAGGATGCCAGACAAAAGGGTAGCAGCTCTGCTGGTGAAGATCTCTGGCAACTGATGCTCATCGTCAGTGATGGTATCTGCGACGACCATGCCGAGATCCAGCGTCTCATCCGCAAGGCTCAAGAAGAACGCGTAATGATTTTCTTCATCATCATCGATAGCTCTGCCGCTTCCCCTTCCGCGCCAGTGCCAATACCATCGGATAACCCGGGCGCACAGCCTCCAGCGCCAGTTAAAGAGCAGACGAAGACTTCTATCATGGATCTGCAATCTGCAGTCTTCACTCCCGAGGGAAAGATTGTACGGTACAAATACATGGAACAGTTTCCGTTCAGGTACTACCTGGTCGTGAGGGATGTACGAGAATTGCCAGGCGTGCTTGCTGGAGCACTGAGGCAGTGGTTTGGAGAAGTTGCGGGAAGTGTTTAATCGTTTCATATCAAGGATTTTTGTGGTAGATTTGTATGCATTTTCCAGGTGTAACGGTGTTTTGGTTCTTGAACTTCTTTTCGTTAGATTGTGGCATGGGAAGGCGTATTCCAAGTATTTGTATCTAGCATAACATGGGACTTGATTCTGCCTTGCGTTACCTCAACAATGCATGAGACTATGATGTTCACTGATACTCTGTCGAATCAGCGTCTCGTTATCCTCTCTGCCTTGCTTTTACCCCGCTTGGTGGCGCAGCCTTGTTCCGTCTCCTCAGCTCAGATAAGCCTTGTCTTTTTTGCTTGTCCATGTAGATAGGAGGCTTTTTGCTAGTTGTCTTATTCTTATAACTCTTTTGCGTGCGTGGGTTAAGAGGGTCATTGACATTACGTGCTGGTCGTATCTTATGCAAGAAGCAACAGGAGTAGGGTTATCAAGTATTCAGCCTTGTCATTACCGTGTGTGCCTTGGCTGCTACGTGTCATTGTGGGTGTGGAAGTATGCCTTGTTTCAGCCTTGTCGATGATTGTCAGCATCACATATCTTGCAGCGCACCCATGGGATTTCTATTCGGATCCCTACGACCCGCTTTTCCTCATAAATCTCTTAATCAACTCTACAGCCTGGATTTTACCTACCTTCGGTACTGTCTACATCTTACAGTGATGGCAGAGCTCGGTGCTCTAGCCAGTGCCGTTCAGCTGGCCGACGTAGCCTTGCGCACGAGCAGCGAGATTCGCAAATTCTTGGATGCGTATGGGCATTCAGACCGAGATTCCAAATCTTTGAGAGATGGTAGTATCATTTTTTGTCTACACAAGAAACCGGCTGACGGCAGAAGCATTATCTGAGGTGGAGGTCAATGTGCGAAACCTAAGAAAACACATCCTCGGCTTTTGCAAATCCAAAAACGCCACTGAAGGTGATGGGGATCTTTTCGACACGATCTTCAAGGCTTTGAAAGGCTACGATGCTGATATTCTCCAAACAAAACGACTGTTGCCCCACAAGCCGGCTGAGAAGGCATATGTAAAGATTCACTGGGTGTTGAAGAAGCGTGAAGCACAGGAGGTCATGCAGCGTATATTCCGACGAAATTCAAATCTTATCGCTGCTTTAGAGATAGTCGGAAGGTACAGTACATGTTCTTCTTTGAATCATCGCTAATGATTTCCAGACAGCAAAGCTTACGCATTCGCGAGGATACTCAAAACATTCTCGCAAAACAAACAGCCTCGGACGTCGCCACCTCAAAACATCTTACCGAGATCCAATCAAACATACGGAAACAAGAGGAAAACCATGCTGAACTCATTGCCCACTCCAAGACGATCATCCGTGAAAATCGTGTCCAACAAGCCTCCTCAAACCAGCATCATAAAATGTTGACTCTCTTGACATCAAAACAAGCTAGTCGTACCAATCGTAGGCTACGGCACATAGAAGAAACTACTTCACAGATAGCTTCAAGCACAAGGTAAAGCAACACTGGATTCCAACAAACAGCAAACAAGATGCAACAAGCCATTGATAACATGGCTTCCAAACTGGAGAGCATCGACACAAAAACTGAATTTGTAGCTTCAAACATCGAAGCGGTTCCGAGAATAGTCCACCAAGAAATCAGAACCACACTCAAGCTTCTTGTTAATCAAGCGCTAGAGCGAGTAGAGATACGCAATGAGCAAGAGATGTGGAGCCTCGGAAACTTCAACAATACGATCACGCGCGACATTGGTTCTGGTATCCAAATCCAAAAAAAATAGGCGAACGAGCAACTTGGACCTTGGCCATTCTGAACACGGGGAAAGTTTCAGGTGTAATCAATCTGCTGAGAGATCAGAGTCAGCACATCATGATTCAGATATCTTCCAGCCGCAAACTATGAACCAAGATGGTGCTGGATTTCATTACACTGTGAACACTTAAAAGCGTAGGTGGCTGCACCGTTGCAGCTTCGGTACGCTCGATATAGAGATCACGCATTTTCATCATTGAATTGACGGGTCTCCGCAATCGAAATCGCATGTGTCTGTCAGAATACGCCTCATGCCGAGCTGTAGATTTCTGAGCCACCCCGGACTTTTTGGTTTTTACAGTACAGCACCCACTCCAGAGGGCTATTATCAACTAGCTCCTATAGTTTCAGTGCACCCAGTGATGGATATGGACTACCCAGTACACTCCGCAATAAGAATTGGTGATCTGCTAATGCTCCAGCATATGCTGGCATCTGGAAAGGTTTATCTGAGAAGTCTTTGTCCCGACGGAAAGACCCTTTTACATGTATGTATATTACAGCATTTATTGTGTAAAATCACCTGTACCATGGTGTTATCCATACTTGTGACGCGGTCTTCATACTGAAAAAAAAACCTGTTTGTACAGCTCAAGATCTGCCACTCATTTTTACAACCAGGTTCAGCTAAGTCGTACTAAATCATCTTGTTGTCTTCTGAGAATTTCCACTTACATGAGCCTAGCTAGCGTCGTTTACCAAAAAATTGGATGTCTGTAACTTCCTTAGCGGTCAAGGTCTTTCTTGGTACGAAGCGCGACTCGGTGGGTAAGTCATCACTATCCTCCTTTTCCCGCAACTTATAGGTCTATGCATCATTCTGAAACTAGCCAGCTCAGCAGCCACACCACTCGATATATTTTTGGTGTACCCTTTTGTGCGCTGCAAGGATATCAAGAGCCTATATGAGATATTCAACTTCGTTGATACCAAGGACACATCAAATCGCGGGCATCTAGTTACACACCTTGTAATGAGCGGGCACCTTAAATACGTGTATTTGAAAAACCCTTTATTGTGCACTAAGATGAATCGATAATTGCAGAAAAGGTGGCCAAATAGTTGGCCGGATTTCATGGCCAACATTCATCTTAGGGGTCCCTTGATATATAGTTGGGATCACATTGAGTTGAATCGTTTGCTCCAGAACGGGCTCAAACCAAGTGCCATTTCCTACGCCGGTCAATGTCTGTTGGGGAGGCTAATTGCAAGATTTTGATCGATGAAGCGGAGGATTAAAGAAGCGAACCTCAAGCAACAATTAAAATGGGCGAACATCAAGCGATACGAAAAAAGGGTGAAGTTGCAACTTCCAGAACCATCTCGTCGCCTCAAAAGAAACGAAGATTACCTCCGGTGGAACGAACCAATGGCATTTGATAAATCCATAACCTTGATAGTCTTATTGATAGCCTGGGGCGGGGATATCTATGCCATAAGATCACACCACTTTGACAATTTACAGCACTGGAGCGATCTGATTACACACTGTACGCAAGCAAGATTAACAGACGCCTTCGACGAATTCAGGTTGGCTTTATACTGGAGCGAACTAGATCCTGACCAGGTCTTTTTGGAGGATGAACGACAGCGCAAACCAGCATTCAAACTGTACGGTGCGACTCGCTCAGGGATCGACGAGACAGTACTGGCCCTACCGTCTGTTGATGGACTTCGCTGTCGCCTTTGTCGCCGACAATATTGCAATAACCATTACTTTTCTCAATCGAAGAAAACAGAGAGCCCTTTGAAGTGGTACGAGTACCGTTAATACACAACATTGGCGCCTACGTCCTCAATGCAGACTTTTACATACCCTCTTACCGGTTTCCATTCGATACTTTGAGCTCAACCTCCAATCAGATGCAGATATGTTTCAGATAAAACAACCAGAAAAAAACCATGATTCACGTGGCCATGAATCTGGCAAATTTACCGTCTGGTTGCCTCCCAAAAGGCTATCGCCGAGCCGAGATCTTCGGGTGAACGATCTCGACCCCATCGAATACTGCACTCTCAGTGATCAGAAGTCAGATAAAAGGTTTCTCCTTCCTGAAAAAGGCGTTGAAACTTGAAGATACTCAAGTAGGATCCTTGATGCTGTGTATTCACACTTCGTGTCGAAAATGCGCAAAGGAATTTCCTGAATTTTACTTGTCTCGGGTTCGGTACAGTGTACTTCATAATCCCGATCTTCCATTCTTGTAACCAGCTCCAACAAATTTCTTTCAAATCGATCACATATTTGTCAACAGCAGCATGTAATCATGCATCATGAAGAAATCATTTTAGAAACTGAGTACCTCTGCTTTGACAAGCAGAGTGTCAGAAATCTCATTCATGTTCAGCCTCAAAGTGCGGAGCGACTGCAAAAAGTAAATTAATCACAAATTTCCATGTTAACACCTAATCAGCCATCTTAACAACAGCTCTTCCAACAATCTTTCCTGCCTCCATATCTTTTATCAATCTATTAAAATCTTCTAGTCTGCCATGAGTTAAGATCGGATGAACCAGGCCCCGCGCTGTAAAGTCAAGTGCCTTTTACATACGTCAGTATCAGCCCGAGAATGAAAGAAACGGTCGTAAGCAGCGGTTTTACATACCTCTTCGACTTCCTTCAGCGTCCCTGTTACACTTCCCACAACATTCAATTTCTTCAAAACCATCAAGGCGGGCGACGCACCTACTACCATGCTCAAATCTTTAGGGATTCCTACGCATACCATTGTCCCACTGGGCCTCAACAGGCGCGGCGCCTGCTCATAGCCAGCCTTTGACCCGGCAAAAACAATTACACCATGAGCACCATACCTTGTAATCTTCAGGACCTCCGTCACGACATCGGTACATTTGGCGAAATCAATAAATTCTTCTGCGCCAAGCTTCAGACATAGATCGCGCTTTGCATCGCCGGTGTCTATAGCAATGACGCGCATGCCCATTTGCTTTGCGTATTGTATGCCAAAGTGGCCCAGTCCACCTCCTGCTCCAGGAAGCACAATCCATTGGCCGCTGCGAACCTGGCTTCGTTTGAAAGCTACGTATGCTGTCACACCGCCGCACATGATCGGGCCTGCTTCTTCGTCTTTGACGCCATCGGGAATCCTGGTCGCATACCGTGCATCTGTTACACAGTACTGTTGGAACGTGCCTGCAATGTGCAGACCGCTGTTTTGTTGCTTGGGGCAGCAGCATTCATCTTGCCCGTTGGTGCAGAATTCGCATCTGTGACATATAGAAGCAACCCATTTGATTCCTGCTCGATTGCCAACTTGCCACAAATCCTGGACGTTTGAGCCGACGGCTACTACCGTGCCGGCACCTTCATGACCGCAGATACCATTGTCGAACTCCTCGATTCTTCTTGGCAATTCATCGTGCAACATAGCCTTATCTGTGGCGCATAGTCCGCTGTAGTTGATCTTAACAAGAATTTGGTCTGATGACGGGCTCGGAACGGGAATATCCTGAATAACAGTTATGGACTGATCTCCGTAACCTTGCTTGACGGCTGCTTTCTGTGTTTTGGGTATTTCCATAGTGGCAGTATTATAGAAGCAAAAGGTGATATATGTAGTGTAGAATGATGTGATGTAAATCTAATCAGTCCAAATCTCTACGTCGTGCTGCTTTTTATTCCTTTCTCATATTAGCCCTCACACAAAGCATGACTAGCTCTACCAGAGCCATGGCAGTCTTCTGCAAGCTGAATACGCAACTGAACCTGCATACCCCGCATGCACGACAGACCAACCTACAATTTAGTGCGCCTGATCTGGTGGATTTCAAGGATTATCACCTCGGAACATAAGTACCCCGCATTTCGATTGTTCTTTCGAACTCTACTCCGACCGGCATACGAGAGACTAGAGCCTACAGAGCAGTACTAAGTGCTAGGTCTGTCCAAGGTGGTCTAGGGATGTAGGGTATCCAGGGTCTAAACTTGAGTCGTTACAATCGACACAGTTGACTGTTTAACCGAGGGCCATGAATTCCGCATTAGCACATGGTACTTCCACGAGATAGCCGAAAAAAATGTACTGATTGGGTAGAGCCTAGTTCCTCTTGGTGATTTCGAAGGAATTTTTAATCAACTCGATGTTGGCCTATATTAGTAAAAAGCGTTGTTTCATGCTCGGCAATCTTGCGGACGAAATCAGGGAAAGGCTTTCCCTCTTCACTTACATCAGACCTAACGAGACGCATTTGTCATTGTTTTATTTTTTCGTTGCTACTTTTTCTTGCAACGGTGGCATTGACGAGGGGTTGAACCTCAGCTCTCGTCAATGAAGAGCGTATCATAATCGTACAATTTTCTTTCAAGCGTATGCCGAAAACTGTACGCCGACCGATGCAGCCATCTATATTTCCGGTAACGCCGCGCTAAAAAGTCACAATCATGTCTGCGTTACCAGGCAGTAATATCCTCGACTTCCGCCTCACCAAAGGTACTGGTTTTGGTAGCAGCCATGCCAGTATCGGGTGTGGCGGTGTCCAGTGATGGTGTTTTGTTCATGATCTCTGGAAGCTCCACATTCATGAAGCCGAGCAAATGTTTGTTGACCTGCTCAAACTCGAGCAAAAAGGCGTCGTGACCATCCGGTGAGTCGATGGTCTTCAATGCAGCATTCGGGATATGGGCGGCCAACTCTTGTTGCTCGGCAAAGGTAAAAAGACCATCCGACTGGATGCCAAGAACGAGGGTAGGTTGCTCAATCAGGGATAGTGCATGATGGAGTGCCGGTACTGGATCCAGGGTTTCGGGTGTCTCGCCTTCCGGGTACCGATAGCGGGAAACGTCGTGAGTATCGAGTTTCCTGGTTATGGCGATGTAACAATTGGCATCAAATCTCTTGATGAACTTGTCGCCTTGGTAGCGCAAGTAGGATTGGGCAGAGAAATAGTGCGGCGCAAGAGGCTTAGAGGCGCGCGGAAACTGGTTGTTAGTGCTTGTCGACCCTGACTTTTGGGATGGCGATTGAGCGGGAGTTGAGGCATCGTGAAATTCAAGGTCAGCATGCGCCTGTGCAGAGGCGGGGATGGCGGTACTACTGTTCGACCTCGACAAGGTTCGTGGTGATCCAGCATTCTTATGCCCATGGTTGTGGATTGCCCAATGCTCATGCGAAGGATTCGATGGGGTTGTCGGGCGCGGCACCGTATTGATGCTTTGTTTCTTGGATAGATCTGGTGTGTTACGACCAAACCTTGACTCAAACGAGTCGCGACTCCGATACGTAAGCAAGGCAGACATTCGCGCAGCTGCGAGACCAGTAGATGGAGGATCATCGTAGGAATAGTAGCCGTCGTCATACTTGGGATCGCTGTAGATGCTCTGGCGCTGCGCCTCACCCCAGCTGATGCCCCATGCACTGTAGCGGGCGGAAGTGGCAATTGGTATAATGGTCTTGACATAGTCTTTTCCAAAATATGCGAACTCGAGAACAAGCATTCCACCCATGGAGCCTCCAATGACTGCGGCAATCTGTTTTACACCGAGATCGTCCAAGATGAGCTTGAAGATGCTGCTTTAGTCAGCAATTGCTAGGTGTAACCAAAATGACTAGTTCAACTAACTTGACATCATCTCGCACTGTTGTCAGGGGAAATTCGGGTCCGTAGGGGCCCAATGAAGCGTCGCCGTCCTTAGCCGTAACTGGACTGGCGCTTCCATACGGGCTTCCTAAGCTGTTCATGCAAACGACAAAGAATCGCGAAATATCGAATGCTTTTCCGGGGCCTCCAAGCAGCGGTCCCCACCAGTCGCCCACGTCAGCGCTGCCTGTCAGCGCATGACATATGACCATGGCATTGTCTCCGTCTGGTGCTAGGGTGCCATAGGTCTTGTATGCGACGCTGACATTGTACAACGCAACGCCAGATTCAAGGGTAAACTCCGGTATAATGGCGATGGTTTGGTCGGGGATCAGTTTGGCGTAAGGATTCTCGGGCTGTGACGAGACTCTTGCTATGAAATGTCAGTTTTAGCCATCATGATAGAAATCGTGGCCAACGAGATCATAATCACTAGCCCGAGCAGATCCATACAACAATCATCTGCTGAGTTCACTAGTAACACGGCGACATGTTTGGTGCTTCCATTGCACAGCGTGACGTCCGTCTTGCATGTTTGCGACAAGAAAAATAATTTTTGGATGCGACTTACTGTACTTCTGCGACCCGTTGGCCGTTCCGTTGTTCACTCCAGAATTATCCATATTTGCTATATGTTGGAGTCGAGAGGTAAGGAATGTAGAGCCTGGAAGGCAAGTGGGGGCGTGTTCGTCACATTGCGGGGAGTCATTCTGCTGGTGTTGATGCTTGCGATCCCCCGCTAGACGAGGGCTCTGACGTCTTGGCGGATGACGTGATTCCACCGATTCGCTAATGGTCTAGGGGCCTCTCTGCCTTTGACTCTTCTATTAAACATCCCTAAACTTGATCGGCTTCTGCACAAATTGGCCCAGGTTTCGCATTACATCAAGCATTACTTTCAAAGATCCAGTCAAGTATAGCGAATCTCGGCCTTGATGCCTTAATTGGTCTTTGAGGCACTACAATGCCGGTACTAAGCCTGTGTCACAACTGTTTGCCCCGACAGTGTTACATGTTTGACTCACGCGGTGTTTGCTATAGTGCTAGATGTTCTGGTCTGTACCCGAATACGAGATTATCGCTGCTCATGATACATGCTCGGACCTCAGGTAACATACCCCTTCAAAGGCATTCATACCAGTCCTCACAAGCGAGGTTGGCACGTTACTAGCTGTGTCCATCCACGCGCTCGATGGTCTCATTACATATTTTTTATCATGAGTGGGATCCACAGGCGCGCAATGCGATTGTGACCAACTGTCATACGCATCACAACCACTAAATTACCACCCGCATGTTGGGCGCAAACCCCCAGCCAACGCGAGATGTATTCTCAGCATTTGGAACATAAGTAAGGATCTCAGCATATTCTATCAGCTGTGAACTTGGTCAGTAACCTCAACACTCCGAGAAATTCAACACAGAATGCAGTTCCAAAAGACACCACTCATGCGTGCTGGAACGGAAGGCTCTTCATGTCAATCTGGATACAAAAGCTTCAATACGCGCCCACCACATAGAAACATCAGATACCACTTCATTCCATACGGTTACTCCACACATCACAGTCGTAAAACAGAAAACACGCCGTGCAAGTCTCAGAAATCTCAAAAGTCTCTCTACACGGCATGTCACACAGAAACCACGACACCAGGATCAGAGATGATGGCCATACCCAATACTGCACCCAAGATTCACATACCGGAACACCCGCAAAAACACCTGCAGTTCACAATAGGAGGCAATGAAGACGCTTTCTATACTGTCTTGAAGGCTCCAAGAAGTACAAGGGGTCAATGCAGAGAGGATATCGCACTGGAGGGGCCTGCTGAGGTTGCACTTGATCATGTTCATGTTCAGAATCAAAAAACAGCACTTGAACAGCTGGCCCGTCAACAATTACGGAGAAACCGAATGCCCAATTATGTCGCCCGCTTCAAGAAGAATCAAATCATTCTCATACAAGAGGAAGAAATGAGATGCTTTTGCGAAGACGTAGCAGGCACGCCTCACATTAGTGAGCTTCAAACTGAAGACGATGTGGTCGCAGTGCCGCGCATTGAAGTATTTGGCCTAGGTGGCGAGATTAAAAATTTCCAGAGCTATTGAAACATGGATGAAGGTGATTGGCGCAGATAGTCCTATAAACTGCAATCCAAAATATGCTGTTCATGTTTCTATTCTCGCATGGAGTGTGCACGAGCCTCACGCTAAGAAAGCCACATGTGGCTAGTGCAAGGTGGATACACTAGCTCTCTTTGCCTCCATCGGTTCGCCATCTTTCTCACATCATCACCATTACTGACATGCGATGCGACGGGTAGTAGTAACCGGCTTGGGCCTTGTAACGCCTTTGGGATTAGGTAATGAATCTACAATCTTTTTCTAAGCCACTTTCACTGACTATTCAGGTGTTCGCCAAACCTGGAAGCGCCTCATTGATGGACACTGCGGCGTCGTTTCTATCAAGGATAGAAGCCCAGAGTTCGCGTTGCTTCCGAGTCAGGTAGCTGGCTTAGTGCCTGAAGGATCGAAAGATGCCGGAAAATGGAATTCAAAAGACCATCTAAGCCCTAGTGTGTGTAGCGCGCCATCATTGCAAGGCCTTCCGCGCCACCACTAACTACATGACAGGACGAACGTCGCATGGCACGCTTCGCTCAATATGCCATGGTAGCATCAGAGGAAGCGATGAAAGATGCCAGATGGTATCCGAAGAAGGAGGAAGATCTTGAAGCCACGGTACTAAAAGCAAATGCTTTTCACGTGCATACTACTTACAACACCTAGGGCGTCTACATGGGCTCTGGTATCGGTAGCCTGGATGATGTATACGACACCACTGTCGCATATGAGAAAGGGGTAATCGGATTGTCTCGTCCATAATATACAGAGCTGACTTTTTAGGGCTACCGGAAGGTGTCGCCACTCTTTGTACCGCGACTCTTGATCAACCTCGCTGCAGGTCACATATCCATGCGCTACGGCTTCAAGGTAGGTTACTGTGCATCTGATTGCAGTATGTAATACTGATCATATATCAAAGGGACCAAATCACGCGGCAACCACGGCATGCACCACTGGCGCGCACAGCATTGGCGACGCATCTCGTTTAATCCAGTTCGGCGACGCGGATGTCATGATTGCGGGCGGTGCTGAGTCATGCATACATCCCCTCGCTATCTCAGGCTTCGCTAGAGCTAGAAGTCTTGCAACTGAATTCAACGATCGCCCTACCGAGTCAAGTCGTCCGTTTGACAGGCAGCGCGACGGCTTCGTTATCGGAGAGGGAGCGGGCGTTGTTGTCCTCGAAGTAAGCAATACGTCTTAGATTTATGCAAAACTCATCAAAATAGGAACTCGAGCACGCCAAAAGAAGAAATGCACACATCTATGCTGAGGTTGCTGGCTACGGATTGTCCAGTGACGCCTACCACATGACGGCACCTCGGGAAGACGGCCAAGGCCCACGTCTTGCCATGAAGAAAGCTTTGCGACACGCTTGCATCAAGCCTTATGCTGTTGATTATGTCAACGCTCACGCTACAAGTACTCCTTTGGGTGATGCCGCCGAGAACAGAGCGATAAAGGGACTCTTACTGGGCGAAGATGGAAAGACTGAAGCCTCTGAAATTAACATCAGCAGTACAAAGGGCGCCATTGGACATTTACTTGGTGCTGCTGGTAGTGTGGAGGCAATCTTCACCGTGCTGGCGATACATCACGTGAGCCAATCCTGGAGCTACAGGGACATGTGCACTGACAACAAGCAGAATACACTCCCGCCGACACTCAATCTTCTCAACCCAGGCGATCCATCGGCTGATTTTGATTGCAATTATGTTGCTAATGAAGCCCAGCAGCACAATATTAGTGTTGCGCTTTCAAACAGCTTTGGCTTTGGCGGCACCAATGCCTCGCTCTGCTTTCGGAAAATTTAAGTTTATAATTTTACTATTACACAGCCATTTGCAAAAATTGACGTTGCTAGCGTCGGCTTTGGCAGACTTGTGTGTATTAGTAAATCAAGTCGGTAATTGATCTACAGCCCCGCTAAGTTAGGTCACATTACTTCGTAAGATAACGACGACTTCCTAACCCCACCTTGCGCCATCACATCCCACATAGCGCTGCAGGAACGATTCCTTCCGCCCATACATCTTGGCTTCCTTCCTACTTTCTTTCTTACCACTTTTCTCCTTCGATCTCCTCGCGCTGCACATCTAGCTGCGGCTGTCTAGACCAAGGCTGGATGTAATGACGACTTCACGTGCCCCGTCGCATGCGGGCAGCGACCCAGAAAACAAGCCATCTTTCCTGCGCAATGCATCCAACAAGGCCTCAGAGTACCATGCGCAGATTCCGTACCTCAGACGACTTCCCTTCGCGGTGATCTCCATCATCATCACGCTTATCTTCGTCAACCTGCTTGTTTGGGCGGCGGTTGGCGTTGTCCTGGTAAGCTAAGGGGATGCGTCAAAAAAATTAGCCGGATACTAACATGTCGCAGCACTGGCATACGCCCCTCATTTCCACGGCAGTACTGTCATATACGCTAGGATTGCGCCATGCCCTGGATGCCGATCACATCTCGGCTATTGATCTAATGACTCGCCGTCTCATAGCGTCAAATCAACGACCAGTTACCGTGGGAATGTTCTTCAGCCTCGGACATTCGACTGTAGTCATCGCCACTTCTCTTGTAGTTGCAGGTACTGCTGCAGCTGTACGAGACAAGTTTGACAATTTCGAGCGCGTTGGCGGCATCATCGGAACTTCAGTATCTGCAGCCTTTCTTCTCCTCCTCGGACTCATGAATGTCTACATTCTGTACAAGCTTATAGTACAGATGCGAAAGATGATTGCAAGTGAACCTGGGAAAGAACACGAAGAGTTCAAAATCCAGGGCGGTGGATGTCTATTTCCAGTTTTGCAGAAGCTGTTCAAGTTGGTCGACCGGCCATGGAAGATGTATCCACTGGGTGTTATGTTCGGTCTCGGCTTCGACACGTCATCTGAGATTGCCATTCTAGGAATCAGCTCGATTCAAGCAACGAAGGGAACATCAATATGGCTTATCCTAATCTTTCCCCTTTTATTCACGGCTGGCATGTGTCTTTTGGATACGACTGACGGTGCGCTGATGATGAGCTTGTACACGAGTACCCAGCTTGCGCGCGACCCAATCGCAATTTGCTACTATAGCATCGTGCTCACAGTCATTACAGTCATCGTCGCGATCATCATCGGGACAGTGCAGTTTCTCAACCTCGTGCTCAATGTCGCTTCGCCCGAAGGCAAGTTCTGGGACGGCGTCGAGAAACTGGGTGATGCATGGGACATAGTCGGTGCGTACTATCTTTGAATCGATGCTGAGAATGGTACTAATGATGTGCAGGTGGGGCGATTTGCGGTACCTTTATCGTGTTCGGTGGTCTGAGCGTCCTGTTGTATAAGCCCTGGAGACGACGCATCGACAAGAAGAGAGTTAGCAACGCGCACTTTGAGCCGTTGTCTCAAGACCAGGAGGCCATGGGGCCAAGTGAGGAGGACGACGTACCCGGACCAGATACCGCGCATACCAAAGATGTGAATGTGACTGTCGAGCCTATCGAGGCTACTAATGTTGCTGGTCCTGCGCATCGATAAAGTCTTCGGAGGTAGCATCAACCATCTTAATGGAATGTTATTTGGTAAAAATGTTCATTAAACATGTCATACGCTTATAAAGCTAGTCCGCGAATACGACGATGAAATTCTATTGAAAGAGCAACTTTATCAAGACCAGCCGAGGCTAACATCAGTGCCTCACAGCACCGCAACCTTGACGATAAAAGACACGAATGTGACATATATCGCTTGAGAATCACGGTCCCAAACCGAGAATATGCTATCCAACCTGTATAACTCCAAGTATCCCATCCTTATAACGCCATGCAGCAAGGGCAAAGTCGAGGCTTATTTGTCGTCGAACTGGCTACCGATGTAGCCCAAGGCGGCGTCACGCATGGCATTGTTTCGTTCAGGCGCCACAACAGGTTGAGGAGTGTGAGAAGCAGCAGTGCAAGTATGAACTTGGTTGCCTTTGATGTCAAAGACGCAGTCGCAGGTAGCGGTGGTGCTGGAAAGAGAGGTTAGAACGCTGGGAGCTCTTTTTTTTGGCTCGGTACGAGAAGGAGGGGGCGCAAAGGCATTTCAGGAACAGAACATACGTACGACTGGGTGCCGGTGGCCGGTGGCGGTGGCGGTGCAGACTGTCGCTTGGAGCTCATGGTGCTGGTTGGGCGCTTGGCGGGCTGCGGTGGGTATGGCTCGAGTAGTAAATGTTCTGCGATGGTGGTGATGCAGTTGATTCGAAAGTAGGGGGAATACTGACTTAATGTAAATGCTTCAGGATAGACTGGAGGACTCTTTGCGAGGTGCCCGCCATGTCGCAGGGCTGGTGGGCGGGGCCGGTCGAGCGAGACTGATGATATGGGCGACCGTGCGTTTCAGGGTAAAACAACCCTTACTACATGCTGTTCGGACAGACTCGATTCTTTCCCTCGTAGGTCATTGGCCGCGCGACTCGGTTCAGCTCACCTCATGCGACGTATCAGGTATTAAAGGTAGTTTCTATGTAAGACGTCAACCTATCAGACCACACATCCACTCACCGATGTCGCACCCGCTATGCTGAATTTGGCACGCAAAATGGGACCAAATCAACACCTTATACGGCAGTATCTTGACCGGCACCTCTGCTTACGACCATGATCTAGCCTGAAACCGAAAAATGAAGCAAGGCGAAGCAACTGCGCATCACGTGCAATCTCATGTTCCGTCTCCAAGCTGGCGAACATTTGCAGCCCAAGCACTGCCTCTATGACAGCATACATTTGCACAACCTTAGCAAAGACATGAATGCAATAATACTATAGGGACTGCGGCTGGCGAACAGTCCAGAGCCGGTATAACGAGCACGTGACAATAAAGGCTACTAATTATCCCCATTTTCACAGGGTGGGTGGTTAAAAGTGTTTCGCTCTATCTCCTCAGCCGCATTGCCAAGACTGAGTAATGACCCTGATGCGGATTATTGTCACCACGTGGCGTTGTAAGCGATCGATGCAGACAGATGTTAGCGCAGTTACCGATCATTGAGGTCAGGTCGACGCAGAGGGAGAGAATCGTCAGTGCACACCCTGTCCCATCAGCATCCCCATTAGCATTCTGATACCTACGCGACAAGGGTGTGTCTACAGCCGCCCCGCCGCACGTAGTACGTAGGCCCTGCGCTTACTGAAGATAATCTCCCGATGAAGCAAGTAAAAAAGCATTGCGCATACGACATCAGCATACCGCGCCCGTCCCACCCCTGCCCGCATTGCATCGCGCAGCTAGGTCCAGCCTCTCCACCCCCGTTTCCAGGCTGAATCTCAAGTACGCGCTGCAGTCCCTCCCCTTCTACCCGCCGAGCCGCCGTCTACATGATGACATAACCAAGATCATGTGACATGAACGATCGGTACGAAAGCATGATCCTTCGGCACACCGATTTTGTCCACGTGAACTGCAGGTGAAATCTTGGACTCTGGAGTAGCAAGTGTAGTCTTCTTGTTTTGGTAGACTAGGCCCCACAATGGGCCGGGTACCCTAGCACGGTACCCGTGCTCCTCTACGCTTGGACGCTGATTGGACGACTAGATTCCGTCTACTTTGATTATGTAACTCTCCCTATGGAAGTATCACGTGATGGCAATACACTCGGAATAGTCCTTCTGTTATCTGCCTTTACCCGCTACTGGTACTACCATCACTTTCAAAACTACTACTACCCAATAGCCTACGCACCGAGGAAGCCTCAAGACAGCACCAGATCCTCCATACCAAAGATCCGATTAAGAGATACCGTACTCCGCGCATCTCCATGTGAATTTCCAGTCTATGTTTGCGCGCGCACCCTACGTCACCAGGACGCGAGTGCTATTGTTGCCGTTGCTATCTGACTATCCCGGGCATCACCCCCCCTATGTACATAATGAGGTCACGTGACCATCGTGTGACACCCCACTAGTCGAACGCCAACATCACTGCCACGATTCCTAGGGAAACAAAAATCAGAGTCTCCACTTCCAAGCGCTGTGGATCCCGAAAGAAAACCCCTGTTACCCTAACCTCATCGCAGAGCATACTAGATAGCGTCTGGCTTTACTTGGCATCGTCGAACTGTGCGCCTACGCTCATCAAGTCGGCAGATTGGGTAGCAGCGTCTTGTTTCGGCGCTACGATCGTCTGAGAGTTGTAGGAGAGCGCCGTGCATGTGTGTGCTAGTTTGCCGGTTGCGCTGTACACACAGCTGCAGTTTGTGGCGGTACTGGAAGCGCGTGTTAGCATGTTGGATACAACAGTCCGGTGTGTTAGGAACAGCATCTGAGAGTACAAACTTACGAGCTGGTATCTTGTGCTAACACAGCATGGCTGCCTTGCTGGCTGCGCGTTTGAGTTGGGTGAGTTCTGGAAACCATTTTTTTGCGCAAAGATGATTTTTGCTGGTTTGCCAGTCCTCAGTATAACGCTGGCAAAGTCGGGTAGGGGTGTTTTTTTCTGCGATGATACAGAGGGTGGCAGCGCGACTTGAAGTGGACTTCATCTTAAATATGCGTGAATGCTAATCGAGTCCTGTGGTGAGGGATGCGAAAGATCTGTTGCCACAGATGCACCTTCACCATTGTCCTCGAGTCTCAGTCAGCCTAGCAGTCCAGTGGATTGCGTACACGTCTCGCTATTGGCATGTGAATGAATCATCCTTGCTGGCACCCGAATTATAGTGTTGAAAGCTGTATGGGAGTGCTTCGTGGCAGCCCGTTCCCAGAGATCAATGAACGAGGCTGGAAGTTCGGGTATCCGGTGAATTAGAAGAGAAAGTCTGGATCACCTGGTTCTTGCTCCATGCCCACATCTCCAGGATTGCATCACCTTGGTCCAATAGCTGTATTCCCGCGCTGCACAGTTATTGTTCTGGTTTCACATTTTCCGCGCGAGGGACGTAGTCGGTCGCCACTAAGTACTGGGATTGACAACTGTACTCGAGTGAACAAAAAAAAGCTTGCGACAACCGTGCACTAACATGGAAAAACTGGGGACCAAGAGCGATGTAACAGGGCCTGCATACGCATACGAGCACACGTTGTCCGTCCCAAAGGCTCTTGGGTGGAAGCGATCAGACACCATGATGTGGCCAAAGCCTGGGTTCTTCGGGCCTCGACAAGCAAGACTTATGCAGGGTGTATGGCAGCCCCCCACCAGCAAAGCCACGACACCAAGAGGCGAATCACGGAGTCGCCGAGAATTGGGCAAGCTGAACAAACGATAACAACAATTCACAAACGCGGTCCGCTAAGCCCCCAGCCTCGCAACCCCCTCGTAAGCGGATTTCCGCAAGTGATGCGCGACACCCACGAAGGGCATTGCTTGGCAGAGGGGGAAGGATCGCGCCTAGTATCTGCGGCTTCCCATGGACTTGTGAAACCTGGGATACCTATAGATAGAAAACCGATCTACGCCTACGGCCTACTACTACTACTACTACTACAACACCACGTTGATTGCGCCATGCTGTATTCACGGTACCTCACCTTTTTCGCCTTGGGCTCCACGCCCAACTCTCTCACATGCTAAGACGTGGGTTTCCAGCATTACGTACGTGTGCTGACAGCCAGCGGGTACATACGTACATGTTATTGCCCAGGACACGACTTAGTCGTCGGGTTCCTTTGACCCAGCTTGCTCCCAGCCCCATGAGTCAACGGACGAGGGATAGGATTCCAAGGCGCCGCGGCCACGGCTGTTGCGATTCCCGGTGCTGCTGTCAGCGCAGAAGCGAGGAGCATGCCCATCATGTACACTAGATGGTGTTTTTTCATCCCAGCCCTGCGTCATGCACCAATACCCCGTGATTAGGATTGCCATTTATCCGGTGCTGAATCCTTCCTTGTGGCGCAAAGGACATGTGGCGCGACGAATAAGCGGTGCGCTGGCTACCCCCCTGATACACGACAGATGTGGGTTGTAGTGCTGGAGTGCACGTCCGTAGCTGAAAAAAAAGCCAGTAGGATGCCTCACGTGGTTAGGATGTGCTGTGTGACCTTCCGAGCCATTACCTACTCGTCGCTCCAGTCCATCACTGCGCGACTACGTCTGACCGGTACAAACTTAGCGCGTGGCGAGTTTCAGGCAGCAAAATGGCCGTTGGAATCCAACATTTTTATTATTGGGTTTGCTCTGTATTTACTTCCACACTGGGCAGGTCGCCCAGCTGCACACCCTCAACCTCCCCCCACGTCGTTAGTTTAGCGGCACTGCTTCCCCAGGTACAACTTGATCCAGAGTCCACTCGGCGATTTTCAAAACGGCTTCTTCGGTTCCGAAAACCCGCAGTGTATTTCCAAACTCGGACCAGAATCTTGAGTCGAAAGATGGGATGAGCTCCATCGGCCGTCGCTCCATTTGCTCAAGGGGCACCCAACCAGATCGGTCCTGCATATAAACGTCTTCTGCCCATGACCCTGTGGGTTCTCGTGATTGCTCACGCAATGCACCTTTTTGTTTTGGGGCTGTAGGTTCCTCCTCTTCGTCTTCTTCTGTTGAAGACGCGCCGTCGCCATTCAGTGTCATTTCCTTAAGAGTGTCAAAGACATTCTTCGTTTGGAAGCGCTGCTGTTCCACCTCCTTGCTCTTGGCACCATTCTTCTTGCTTTTCGTGCGCTTCTTCCGTTTTGCGGGTACCGGGTCTTCGAGGGGCGGTAGCGGGACGGGCTTCTCCACCTTCTCGCGTCCGTCCTTTACAAAGTCTTGCAAGTCTTCACCAGGGATCTTGTGGACACCTGAAAACGTATTCAAAAGTGGCGGGACTATCTTTTCTCCTCGCTCTGCACCGAGCTTAGCGGCTAGCTTAATCATGATTGTGGCTGTCAACAAGCTGTCATAACCAGCTTCGTGGAAAGCCTCAATATCCTGGTATTTAGAGTGATCGGCGTGAGTGATGATGTTGGGTAGCGGTTGTTTGCTAAGACTCGACGCTATGTCTTGCAGCGTGGGCGAGGCGTTGAGGTCGCCCTCAGCATAAGTAGCTAGGTATTTTGTGTCGATTATCCTGGGGAACAGCTCGTGGATGGCATCCTGGAATTCCTGTAATGTGTCCTGACAAATCATGTTAGATCAACACAGACGGAATCTCCTGGTTACATACAGGCAACGGTCCGACGAATGTGCGGTAAAAGTAGACAATGTCGGTAAACATATTGTGACCCACAAGCACTGGCTGCTTCGTCTTTAGTCTCTCGATAGCTCGATCGTAGCGATTGCGTATAGCCTGCGTGTCGGCCGCTGATGCCATGCCAGAGGTCCGAGCAACGTATAGCAGTTCAGTTCGATCAATATTGCCGTTTTTGGCCAGAGCCTCAAAGACCCAGCGAAAGCCAGTTTGCCGCAGGATGGACTCGTTGACGCGAGTCTTCATCTTGCGCACGTTTTCCGCCTCGCGCAGAGGATCTAGATGGATGATGCGAACGCACTCTGAGCGACCCATGGTGACCAGGTCAGGGAATTCAGCACGCACAAGCTGATGGACCAGACGCTTCTCAAAGCGTGTGATGGCGGGAATGACCGGTTGCCTGGGCAGCCCAGTGTGGGTTGTGACATCCAAACCCGACGCTTTGCTAGTTTTCCATGTGTTGATGGCGTTCCTCACACGGCGCATGAAATCCAGCGACTCAACGTCTTCCTCTTTTAGTTGCAGGTCTGGGACAGTATTCTTTTTTTCGAGTCGATCCCACGCCATTTGTTTTGCGCGCTCTGCCTCCTCACGTGACAAGTACTGTACGCCACTGGCAAAAGGGGAGCCCAGGTCGAAGCCATTGTTGAGCAGGAACGTGCAGGCGCCGCTCTGGAATCTGATTTCGCGCTCAAAGTCCATCCGCTCGTCGAGGAGCGGGCTGATGGCGATGTTGTAGGGCCGCAGGACGTACTTGTTGGCAGTGTAGTCGAACCTTGCACAGGTGATGCCGACCTGTAGGATCTGGTAGCGATCGGCGCCCATCTTGGTCTCGGCGTAGCGCTCCTCCATGGTAAAACGTCCGGGCCCTCGCGGGGGTTTATCCTGAATGCGCGAGGGGATGCCCGAGAGCTCGAGGTCAAAGGAGACAAAGTCGGCCTCGGAGATGTGGATGAAGAGGCCGAGCAGGTGGTGGGGGAAGGAGGCTGCGTCGACGTCCATGGCTGTGGAGATGGTGGTCGCGTAACATGGAAATTAATATTGGGCGATGCAGTGGTAGGACTGTGGCGGCGGGCTGGTAAGCGATGGGAGATGGTGGAGGTGAGGGTAGTGGTAGCGGTAGTGGTAGTGGCAAGGCCAGCGGCGTGCAGAAAGTAATGAGGTCAGCCATGTTGAGGCGCCCGCGACAATGTCGCACTCGGTGGCGCAGAGCGTGTGTCGCAAACGAGATGTGTCGAGCCAGTTGTGTCGAGCAAATTAAGACAGCTGCACATGAAGCGATGTATGGGCGGCCCCTTGACAGGAGGGGAAGCATGGCCGTGGGCAGGCGGTCACGTGGCGCAGGCGGTTTGGCGGCTCGGGAAGCGCTGACGCGCCAAGGCAGCAATGGCAGGCACGGAGCCGAGGTCGAATCGAATTGTTGTGACTACGCGGAGTCGAAAGGCGTAGGACCGAGCCGCCCACCCACAACCCCCCGAGTCTCACCGCAATGTGCTCGTGAAGCCAGAAACACACCCACCACGAGCATCTCGATCCATCGCGTCGTGCAGGGAGCAACTATGGCGACCGTGTACGACCAAGTCAGCGGCTCGCGCTACCTGTCGTCATCCATCTCGTCGCTCTCGGCCTCCCGCCAGCAGGCGTCGCAGATAGCCAAAGCCTACCGCCAGGCCGCCCAGCTGTTCCTGACGCGCCGCCTGCCCGAGGCCCTCTCCACCATTGAGCCCATCATCACCCCGCCGCCGCTCGACGACGACAATGGCGCCCCCACCGACCTGGCCGGCTATGCGCCCGTGGCGACCGCGTCTCGCGGCACCCGGGTCAAGGTGTGGAGCTTCTATCTGACCTTCCTCAATGCCGTCATCGAGCTCGGGGCCGAGGACGGCAAGCATGCCTTTGGAAGCACCCGGTGGAAGCAGCTCGTCTCCAAGTGCCGCGACGGCAGCATCTGGGACGACGTGGTGCGCGATGGCTATGCCGGCGTCGAGGGCGATGTCGATGCCGACGTCGTCATCAACTTGTATGTGTGCCCCCGGCGCCCCCAGAGCCCCCAGAGCCCCCAGAGCCCCCAGAGCCCCCAGAGCCCCCAGAGCCGCCCCCCATGCTGACCCGGTGCAGGGCAACGCTGCTGCTCACCCACGCGCCCTCGCAGAGACTGAACCAGCAGAAGCTCGAGACATACCTCTCGGCCGCCGCCAACCCCATTCTCGATGTCGCCTCCCACATGTCGTCGCAAGCATATCTCGACAAGCGCCCCGGCAGCAGCAGCAGACAGCATGCCGGCACAGACACCCCGCGCGACCTGGAGAAGCGCATCAAGCTGCTCGAGCTCTACACGCTGCATGTGCTCCCCCGCAACGACGAGTGGGACTATGCCCGCGAGTTCATCACCATGTCCGAGGTCCTGGACGACGAGCGCAAGGAGGCCTTTCTGCTCGCCCTGCACTCGCTCAAGGAAGAGAAGGAGGACACCGAGGCAAGAGAAGAGAAGCTGCGCCAGCAACAACAGGAACAGATGGAGCAGCGCCGCAGGGAGACCGAGGCCCGCCGCCTCGAGCAGTCGCGCGCAGAAGACGAGCGCCGGAAACGCGAAGAAGAAAACCGCCGCCAACCCCGTGGCTCAGACGACCGTTTCCGCAGGTCCCACCCAACACCCCAGCCTACTTCCTCCCAGTCGTCACGAACTTCACGCACCCCTTCCAGGAAGCCCATGTCACCCCCGCCGGGCTTCTACAACCGCGCCTCCACCCTCATCTCCAATCTCCAAGCCATGATATCCAACACAGCACAGTCCATGACTGCAAATCCCATGGCATTTCTACGCACTCTGCTCTTTTTAATTGTGTTTGGCCTTGCCCTCGGACGGAGAGATCTCAGAGAACGCATCCTGAGAATCATACGCACGGCATGGGACAAGGTTAGGCGAACGGTGGGCATGGGTGTCAAGGTTTCTTATATCTAATATACTGCACACCCCAGAAGTGAAAAATATATGACAAACTGTTTTTTGTTTTCGTTACTCTTTGATACCTAGTCTGTGAGTGATTTAGGGGGGGCGGTGAGGGAAGGTTGGGTAGATTTGCCAAGAAAGAATTGGGGGGGACATTTTTTCCTACGTCTTCTGTATTATTAACAGCATGCATCTCATATGTAGTGGTAGCTTTGTTGTAGTATAAGAGAAAGAAAAACAGGTCAAATGGGGCCGTGCATTTGCAAATCTCAAGCCTTTTTTGTATAATAGAGTTGGCTGACGTCATGTTAAGTTTGCGAGGCGTGTTCAGCCAGCCCGTTTGATTGATTGCTTGTTTGTTTGTTTATTTGTTCCCAGCGGCTAGGACCATGGCCTTGGAAACGGTGGCTTGTTACACAGCACAACCATGTCTAAATCAACGTCGGCCATGACAAAAAGAGCGTCGTTCGCAGCACGCATAACCAGACCTTTGAAATCAACTCTGCAAATTCCCCACTTCCTATCTTTGGTAAACAGCGTGAAAAGAAGCCTCAACTCACTGCCGCTTTCTCGTCGATCCAAGCGTCTTCCTCCTCTGCTTAATCATATACGTGTACATTGTATACGAGCCTACATCTGATCAGCACCTGATTCCGAATCCGAAAAAAAATAACATAGTAGATATGTACTTACCAGGCACGTAGAGCATCAAGCAAAAGTAAAAAACAGGTGGAATAACCCAGCTGATCCGCGCACCGGGCTCAATGGCGCGATACAATAGCCACCACTCTGCGCCAATGCCAATGGGGTACAGGGGGTAGAACATGGAGTATCTAGCCATTGTCAGTTGAATCCACACGAACAAACAAACGACAAAAAGCATTTACATGCACATTACCACGGAGTGAGAAGGGGAAACGCACCTCAGCCATACAAGCAACGCAGGGGCCTTGCCGTGCATGTTCAGCGCTAGATACAGATAGCGGATACCGTCTGCTACCGACCACGCCAGCACCAGCGCGACATAGGCACTCGACGACGCAGTGCTACCCGGGAAACAGAACCATACCATCCAGACCTGGATTACGCGCGTGACGACTTGCAGTGCGGTTGTGCTAACGGGGGATTTGATGATGCCTTTGGTTGTATTAGTTCGGCATCTTGTGGAGAGAAGTACGTAGGGTACGGGGGGGGATAGTAACGCACCAAACGCCGCGTGTAGTACTTCAACTAACGATGCTGTTTGCACCCAGCGCGCTGCAGACTCTGTCGCGGAAAATATGTCCGCCTTGCTGCTTCCAGCGCGTAGGTGCGCCACGGCTTTTATAAAGATGGAGGCCCAGAGAAGCGCAAAGATGATGTTGTACCCGGTGAGATAGACCTGGCGTAGCGACGACGGTGCTGTGTGCGTCTTGCGCTGCTGAGTCGCCATCTTCGGACTCTTCCCTTTTTGGTGAGTATCAGTCCAACCCTTTCTTCTCCTCGTTTCTTTCTTTCTTTCTTTCTCGTTTTTCTTTTTTTTCCACACTGAAGATGAATCGTGACAAAGCTATGGGGGGTTTTTTTTCGAGCAAGTAAGCAAGCCAGTAAGAAAGAAAAAAATTGCAGTTACTTAGTGTCGTGTAGTCTTTGATCCGGCCACTACGCTTGAATGCGGAGCGCTGCCCCGAGCCGAGGCTAAGTACTACTTGATTTGCATTTTTGCGATGCACGCTTGCAGTCCTAGTCTACACCTCATGTATTCCTGCACCCAGTTTCCCCTATATCCATATCCCGTGCTGCTTTTGTTGGTATGCGTGGGGCCGGAGGTCAGAACACAGGTATACATAGGTGGTGGTGCGAGTAATGCGGTACCTGGGGTAGTCTGTGGACGGACGAATCAGAGGCGCGCATGGCGTGTGCGCACAGGGGCCATGTATACCTCGTCCCACATGCTCATGCTCATGCGAGTGTATCCAGATGGGATTTGAGCTGGGATCGTTTCGGCTAGGATGTGATGCAGCTTGATAGATCTGGAATACTGGCTTGAGTAATCGTGGTGTGTTGGCGGGTCCAAGCTGAGCTCTAGGCTCCACCTTCTATTCGCAGCACTTGATTGAAGACTATTCTGCGTCTCCATTCGATTTCCCAAACACGTATATGCGGACTTTGTACCATAACATGGCGATGTATATCGTAACGCAGATAAATGTCTGAAAGCAAATATATCACAAGAAGACATGGTAAAACGAGACTGCAATGCACAAACTAAATCTTGCGATAAGATAGTTCTGAGTTTGGAGGTGTACCTACGTAGCTAGCGTCTTCTCGCGTGACCACGCCCTATCATCAACATCTCAACCCATTTTACCAGCACTATAAAGCCCAAGCACGACACCCTTATCGTAACTCGGCCAGCAAAATGTCCTCCGGTGCAGTAAGTCTCGTTTTACCGCGGCCAGGTGCTGAAACCACATTGCCACCAAAAACCATTGCCGGGCCCCCGGAAGAATCCTTCACATCGACATTTGGCGCCCTCCTTCCGCCAGCTCGATATCTCAGCACGGACAATGGAAAAGCGGCATACTACTCCATGCCGCCGTCACCGCCACCCACGCCAGACACGCAATCACCAGACACAAAGTCGCCAGAGCGAGTGCTCTTTATTCACGGCGTGCAAACCCCCGCCCTGGGCATGCTCCCACTAGCTCGGCAGCTGCATTCCTCGTTTCCCACAGCGCACTTTGTGCTGCTTGATCTCTGGGGCCACGGCCTCAGCGACACACCAGTTGCACCTCACACAGCCAGCCTGTTCCACGGGTTAATCGACGCGCTACTCGACCATCTGCAATGGCCCTCAGCACACATGGTCGGCTTCTCGTTTGGCGCCTCGTTGACGGCGGGCTACGTCGCATTGCGCGCCACACGTGTGCAAAGCTACACATTGGTTGCGCCGGCGGGGCTCATCAAGTCTGCATCCTTCTCGGCAGCCGAGCAAGCGCACCTGCAGCCTGGCAGCGACGAGGCGGCGGCGCAGAAATGGGTACTTGAATTCCTCGAAGGCGGAGACCTTCTCGTGCCGGCAGACTGGGAAGAAAGAGTCGCGCGGGGCGAGGTGGTGGCTGAAGCCGTGAGAAAGTGGCAGATGGACAAGCACCCGGCACACACGGCATCGGTAGTAGGTATATTCCGCGACGGCGGTGTGCTGGATAATCAGCAGCGATTCGAGGCAGCGATTGCGACGGGGGTGCCGGCCATGGTGGTGCAGGGTGAGAAGGACGACCTGTGCACCCCAGGCGAGCTAGTGCAATTGGGCTTCCAGCACGTCTTTGTGGTTCCAGACGTCGGCCACGCGGTGGTAAGGGAAAGAGTACCGGAAGTGGCGGAATACGGAGGTGACTGTCAAAAGTTCTTGCTGACAGGGGTGCATTGATTACCGCCGAAAATAGGGCCGAAGCTATGTAGATCGGTCCCGCCGCCCCTCTTTGTACTCATTGCCACCTTCAAGTTTAATGATTTCTTGAATATGAAACGGAATACGCTCTATCTAAGCTTGAATTTGGTGTTAAGGTAGCTCATCCTAGTACTATTGCTAGACTTTTGTCCCTTCCGCCCAACTTTTTAGTGCGCCTCTTTGTGTTGTTTTTCTTTTGAGCCATGGCCAGGCTGCTTCAATAGCGTTAAGATTAGGTGAATTGCCTGGCCATGGGAGCTGCTCTACCTTAGCGTTTCAGTATATAGTTCTTTGAGCGTGGTGGGTATGCGAAGGTGCCTTATCTTCTTGAACAAAGACACGTAGTCTCTCTTTTTAGCACTCCTTTGCGAAGGGAATTAGCTTTAGGATAAGAACTTAAGTCTAGTAACGCCACCAATCAATGCCACCACGACTGCTCTCACGAGCTAGCTTACCCGTCTCTTTTACCTATCTCCATTGTGGAACTCTGCCAGGCTTGTTACGTAATCCAAGCCTCTTCATGCCTGTTGTAAGCTCCCACGCCTCTCTCATAAGAGGCTCTAGAGCCTTATTCAACTCTTCAATCTAGAGAGCGGCGTCTCTCTTCTCCTGCGCAGTCTCAGGCCTCTAGACATGGCAAGGACCTTTGTAGTCGTACGTGAAGCAGCCCTAGAACATAAATTTAGAGTAGCCCTTCCACCACTCTTAGATAACACTTTTAGTAAAGACTTCATCTAGGCGTCGCCACACACGATAGCCACTGCGACAGTAGTTAAGAACAACAGAAGTCTCATCTAACCAAATAACGTTCTTCCAATCTTCAAGTGTCCAATCTTTATAGGCAAGACACCACTCAAGTCTTTCCTGTCTTATCTTCGTTATTAACCCAGGCTTCCTCGTCAGCTTCGTCTTGTTGTAACCAGCTGCTCAAAGGACTCTCCATACGGTAGACGACGAGACGTTGTAGCCGTGAACACTAAGATCACCAGCAATATTAGCGCAGCTCTTCTCTCTCCCATACCTATCGCGGCGTACGTTCTTAAGAGTAGCGTTGTATATTTCTTCTTGTTTACAAGGGCGGCCTATGCGCAGGGCATCTTTAAGGTACTACAGAAGGATCTTAATTAGGCGTACGTTAGGCTTAAAGCCTTGCTAGTAGGCTCTACTATAAATTAAGTCAATCGTACGCGGCAATATACCTGTCATTTCTGCGATTTCGCGTATAGATTTGCCACTAAAAGGTAACTTCAATGCAACAATAAAAGAGCGGGTCAATATATCCGTATTTGGAGCTATAATAGATTAAAAACACTTAAAAAAATAAGTATACAAGCTATCGCTAGCTTTAAAAGATTGGTGTGGGCGCCAAGAATAGTCGGGCCGATAGGCTGGCGGCTTAGCGTGGCGCTAGCAAGAACTTTTGACAGTCACCTCCGTACATGTGTGGTTTCTGGAATCCTTGACAGGGCAAGAGAGATTACGCTGATATGTGGATATATATAGCCTTATAGCTCCGACCGCTAATACTATACCTGCTACCTGGGCCTCCCGGTGCCTGCATCCATGTAATATGTTCCCGCCGGCCGATTACTTTATCTCGCCTCGGACCAGTCACAGAAGCCATACAGGGCCCCCCACGCAGGGCCGTTGCGGCATGTCCATGATAATACATAGCGTCGTGGTCGCGTCTGACTCGAGGCTAGCGGGCCGGGGAAAAGGGCAAACTGTTATGCTCGCCATGCGGGCGTTCAGAAAAGAACCGACGATGCCGGGTGGTGGTGTGGTGCATTGAGCACAGACTGATAAGTAAGTAAGAAAGTAACGAGAGAGAATGGCGGCGGGATACTTATGATGTTGACAAAAACAGGTTATCCGACAGCGGCGAGGGAAAAACAAGCCTAGCAAGGTTAGCCAAGCGTGCGTGTAAGCAACCACAAACCTTCTCCAGCCAGCAATTGGCAGCCCGCGCGGGTTGCGGGGTAGAGCGGACGCGCGGTTGTGAGTGGCTTTTGTGTTTGTGCAGACTTGGTGTCGTGATACTGGCGAGTGCGAGTGGGGCATCCTCAGGCACGCCCACTCGCTATCTACACTGCCAGCGCTCTTCTCATTATACCAGCTCGTATGCACGTAGCACAGCCAGCACCCCACGGCCACACTTGCTTATTCGCTCACCTCCGCCCTACCCTGGCCTGCTGAGAGGCTAAGATTCTCGCAGCCCTCCTCTCGACATTATTGTTACATTACTGACGAGCTTTGCGCAGCGGGCGCCGCCCAGAGCATCAACACTTCGCCTCGCACGTCACTCCATGCACCTGCCGCCTTGGGCTAGCCCCGCTCGCCGTGCCATCTGCCATTATATCAAAGCTCACTACATAAGCTGACTCCATGCGCCATGTCGCTGCCCTGGCTAATCGCACATCATCCCTCTCGTTCGCCGCCGCGCCGCAAGCATCATCATGCGCCTTTCCGTCTGGGGCGCCTGCTTCGGAGCAGCCGCCGCCTTCCAGCTGAACGGCGTCGACAATGACGTCGATATCCAGGGCATGGAGCGCAACGGCATCGAAGTCTTCCTCGGTGTTCCGTATGCACAAGACACCAGTGGCAAGAACAGATTTAAGCCGCCGGTTCCCTACCAATACAAAACCGGCCAGGTCATCGATGGTACCAAGCCAGGCCCGGCGTGCCCTCAGTCGCTCGGCCAGCTCTTTGCTCCCCTTGGTCTGGATAACATCACCAGCACATCCGAGGACTGCTTGAACCTCAACATTGCGAGACCAACCGCCAAGGACCGACAAGGAAAAGGCCCTCTACCCGTGCTCGTATGGATCCATGGCGGCTCCTTTTGGTGGGCAAGCAACAACGAGCCGACGACCGCCCCAGACGGCATGATCAAGGAGTCGGTCAAGAATGGATCGCCCATTATGCACGTCGCCATGAACTACCGCCTGGGATTCTTTGGCTTTGCCACGTCGCACGCGCTCAAGAAAGAAGGAAGCATGAATGCTGGCCTGCGTGACCAGCGCCTCGCCATCGAGTGGGTTCGTGACAACATTGCTGTTTTTGGCGGGGACCCGAACAGGATCACCATTGCTGGCCAGTCATCGGGTGGCTTGGCCGTCGGCATGCAGATCATGGCGTATGGCGGGGAAAAGCCACTTCCGTTCCAGCAGGCCATTGCCCAGTCGCAGTCGCTCGAGCCGGGCATCACGGGCACTTTTACCAGAGATGCAATGAAGGCCGTGGTCGACAAGGTCGGATGCAGCTCCAAGTACACGTCCAACTCTACCAGTTTCGACACCCCAGAAGCACTCGACTGCTTGCGGAAACTGGACACGGCGACCCTGTTCAATGCCTCAGCATCCACGTACGTTGCTGATATTGCCCACAACATTGGCGATGTCTGGCTGCCGCAGGTCGACGGTGACTTTCTGCCTGCTGCGCCCAGCCAGCTCATCGCAGAGGGTAGATTTGGCAATGCAACCTTCATTTCCGGCTGGATGGAGGGCGATCTGAACGTCTACACCAACACGTCCATTTCCACGGCCAAGGAAACACACGACTTCTTCCGTGGCTATCTCCCATCCATGTCCAACTCGTCGCTGACCCACCTCCTGAACCTGTACCCCGTCGAGGAATTCGGCACCAGCGCCAACCTCACCCAGGAGTTCTACCGCGCTGCCCGCATCTTCCGCGACATCCTCATGGTGTGTCCGTCGCTGCATCTCGGCGGCGCCATCAAGCAGGTATACAGGCCGCCCGTGTACTTTTACAACTTCAACCAGACGATTCTCGACGCCATTCTCGAGAGCGTCACAGGCATCCAGGGCTTCGGCGTCGTGCACACATCCGAGTTTGCATACATTTTCGAAACTATGCACGTGTACAATAACTCTGGATTCCCGCTCGACGCCACGACATACGACTACCAGCTCGCCATGCGCGCAAGCCGCTCCTGGAGCACCTTTGTCAACAAGGGCGTCCCCAGCCTAAACCACTACCCCTCGTTGACGTTGATCGGGTGGAACGACGCGTATAGCCTGCCTGGCGGACCCTATGTACGCACAATCGGCGGCTCAAACCCGAGCTTCAGTGCGCTAGGCATGGTGAACTCCGCCCCGGAAATGGCAGTGCAGAGACTGCAGGAACGATGTCGCTTCCTGAATAGCCCCAATATTATCCGCGAGCTGCAGTTTTAGCGGCGACGGGGGGACACGTAGACGTTACGATGAATGTACATGTATACGGCCTGTCATGTTAGAATATAGTGCCTTGAAATTAATCTTAGTACCGCTGGCCTTGTTCATAGTCTTTGCAGTCAAATCAACCACTCTCGTATTATTCCTTCTTTTTCTCCCCATCCACCATTCCAAGAATATACTCCCACTCCTCCCTACTCACCCGACACACACTCAACCGCGACTGCGTCACAAGCTGCATATCCTTCAACGCACCCCCTTCCTTCGCACACTCTTTAATCCGCTTCAAATCCAGCACCTCATCAAACTCCCTCACAAACTCCACCCCCACACAAAACCACTTGGGCTTCTCCCGCTCAGACTTGGCATCGTAATACGGATCTTTGGGATCAAACGCCGTCTCATCCACTTTCGCTTCTTCGACTACGCGCAGGATCCCCGCGATACCTGAGGGCTTCGCGTTGGAGTGGTAGAAGAAGCCCAGATCCCCTGCGCGCATGGCTTGCATGTTGTTGCGTGCTTGCGGGTTGCGCACGCCCGACCAGGGTTCCGGGGCGGTGCAGGCGCGCAGGTCCGAGATGGAGAAGGAGACGTTGATGCCGTTTTCGTAGCGTGGGAGGGGCTCGGCTTTGAGGAGCCAGAAGGTTTCTTGCGGGCTGTTTGGAGAGCGCGTGGGGGCTGGTAAGGGGGTGGATTTGGACTTGGTGGCGTTGGAGGGTTTGGGTGCTTTGGGTATACTCTTGCTTTCTTTGGATGCTTTGGGTGTATTCTGTTTGCTCTCCTTGGATGCGTTGGATTTGCCTTGTGTACTTTTCTTGGATTTGCCTTCCTTTCTCTCCTTGGATGCTTCGGGTTTGGCCTCTTCGCCCTCGTTGGATTTGCGCTCTTTGTCCTCGTTAGACGCCTTGGATCTGCTCTCGCTGGATGCTTTGGATTTGGCTTTCTTGGCCGGCCGACTGTCCTGTGCTACATGCTCGTCGTCTGCGCGGCCACGCTTGCGACGCGTCGACTTGTTGCCATTGGGTTTCGCTGCTTCTTCCTCGGCCGACGATGGCTGGTCGTCGTTGTTTTTGGGCGCAGCAGAGGCCTTGAGGCGTGCGGAACTTCGTGTGCCAGCCATGACGCGACTGTGGTGGTGATGCAATGCTCGCGTTGGAGGGCATGGAGGATGAGACGCGTATCAACCGCGGCGCCATTGGCTGGAGCGTCGCTTACTTGGGTACTTACTATCACTTATCGTCCGCCGCTTCAAGTCAATGTCACATCATCTGACCACCTCTGCGGTACAAAGTAGTCTCCAGTCTACGACTATGCGCTTCTCGACCCACTTGTGTGCAGCTTCGCGCCATCAACGGGATATTCCTTGACCAAGACCGACGACACTGGAGCATAGCTACACCTTCTCCTTTTGCTGACCGGACACGCCGGTCACTACACGCCATATTCACAAGCCTCGGAGACGCACCGCATACGTCTATACCTGGTCAGAAAACCCTGACAGAGATTGAGAAAAAATGCATACCAGGCCGAGGTAAAAGCTCTTCTGCAAGTCAAATCAAATCATGCTCAGCCCCCGAGTCCGTGCGTGCATGCGTTGTTCGTACCAAGGGCCCTTGTAGTCTGCCTCTTGCGGAACCAGCCATTGACCAAGACTCGCCGTTTAACACGACACAGCAGCACATTAATCATTTACGTATCCAACATGAGAAAGCATTACGGTAGAAATGTTTGCCTCACTTCTATACCAGCATACGGCGGCTCTCTACGGCGGCTAGCGCGCAGTATCTGAAATGCCTTGGCAATGTCGAATTCACCTCACCACGACTACTCCCAACCAGCTGACCACGATACTAGTAATATAGGCGCAAGCTACAATTGGCCCTGGTTAGCCAAGTACAATTATCGGCGTAACTCCCCCGCTAATGTGGCAGCTAAATGGTCTAGTCTCCGCCTGCACCATCTTGTTCTTGCATCCCCAACGCTTTAAACCCCCCCCCCAGCCCCAAAAAATTGCTCTTGGCATCCAAACTATAAAGCAACATCAATTATCTCGCAGGCTGTGGTCCCAAAAAAAATCGCTCAAGCGCCTTTTTTTTTATTGAATTTTCTTTGAAGGGGGGTTTTTCTGGAAAAAACAAATTTCTACTTCATCATGGACGGCTTCGAGAAAAAGACGCTCAAGACCTCGAGAGGCTTCACTTACACTTACTACACGTCTCCTGGCGATGCCTCGCTTCCAACCCTCCTCTTCCAACATGGCTGGCCCGACCACGCCGCCATGTGGCAGAAAATCGCTCGCCCACTGCAGTCGACCAAGCACCCCATCATCATCCCCGACATGCTAGGCTACGGCGGAACCGACAAGCCCAGCGACCCGGCAGCCTACAGCTTCGGGCTGATGACCAAGGACATGACTGAGATTCTCGACGCCGAATCCGTCCCGAAATGCATTTCCATCGGCCACGACTGGGGCTCCACGGCCGCCACGCGCCTCGCGCAGTACCACCCCGAGCGCGTAGCCGGCATCGTCAACATCAACGTGCCGTACTCGCCGCTCGTACGCGAATCCTTTGACCTGGACGCCTTCAACGCCTTCACCAAGCAAGTCTTTGGCTACGGCCTATGGACCTACTGGTACTTTTTCACCGCGCCCGACGCCCCCGCCGTGCTGAAAAGCGATCTCGACCGCCTCTTCACCATCCTGCACAGCTCCGGCACCGCCATGAAGAGCTTCTTCTGCGAGGACGGCGTCATGCGCGATGCCCTCGAGCACAAGACGAATCCCGATATCCCTATTCGCGCGTACGGCGAGGATCCCGCGCTGCGCAAGGCTTTCATCGATCGCATGACGCGCGATGGCTTCGAGGGACCCCTATGCTGGTACAGGGCCATGGTCACCAACGTCCAGTATCAGAGCGACTCCACGCTGCCGGCAGGCAGAGAGCTCATCAACGTGCCTGCACTGTACTTTGGCGGCTCGCAGGACCCCGTGTGCAGACCGGAAATGATGAAGCAGGCTGTAGACGCGGGATTGCTGCCGCACTTGGAGCATGCGGGCATGATGGATGCGGGACACTGGACCGTGTACGAGAAGCCGGGCGAGTGTGTGCAGAAGATTGAGGCGTGGCTGAAGAAGAACTATGCAAAGTAAATAGTAAGATGTGGAATGGGATGTATCCAGCACGAAAGAAAAGAAAAAGTGTGATTAAGTAAAAGATCATGGTAGGACTCTAACTTCATATGAGCGTGATAAGTCTTCATTCTTTCATTGACAAAGTCTTCAAGCCCATGTGAAAATCCCATACACCACGTGCGATAATGTGCCCCTAAACAGGCGTAGCATGATTCGCCGGAAACAATTTGCCCACGCCACAGTAAACGCCCCAGTACCAATCTCCATTGATATCCGCCGCCTCTCTGATTTCGGCTCCACGTGGAAACGCCAACTCATCGTCGACGCCCTCGTCAGGTAGATAGGCCCATCTAGCGAGGAGTCTGAGGCCGACGCCGCCGTCAGCTGGGATCCGCGTGATGCGGGCCATGTCGGTTTCCTTGAGGGCGTAGCCGCCGACGAGGTCGCGGACGACGATGCGGCGTTGGGCGCCGTCGCGGTCTTCAAAGCCTACAATGTACATGCGGTGGCCGCGCAGACACTTGCGCCATCCGTTGACACCGTCTTCCTTTGCGATGCGCCCGCTCACCTGGAGCTTGTGGTAGCAGCTGCTGCACATGTCGTAATCCCCTGTATTACACTGCAGGCAGTGGAAGCGCGTGTGCGAGGGTGGAATTGGGTAGCTGCACACGTTGCAGAGTGTTGTAAAGGTTAGGGGCCGGAAGATGGCGTTGACAATGGTGAAGTAACCCGGCCCCCGCATAAGAGAGGCGGATTTAGGTGTTAGTGGCGCAGATGCGGGTGTGGCATCGTCTGGTGGTGCGAGGTGTGCGTCTTGGCGAGGCGTAGATGGCGCAGAGGATGTATCGGTGACTGTTTGGACCTCTCTCGCCTTTCTGGCAACAGGGACGAGAGGGTGTGTGCAGTGATGGCCTTGATTGACGCAGTCGTTGCAGTAGCCCCAGTCCCCTTCGTTACAATAGTCGCATTTCCAGTAGCATGCGTTTGCGTATGCTTTGCAGATCTCGCAGAAGACGCCAATTTCCACCCGGTGCTTGGGGTCGTCTTCGCTCATTAGTACATGTGGCGGCGTAGTCGATTCGACAAGCGGTGTCATGGGCCGGCGATATCGATGGCCGATAAGAATATGGGGATGCTCATGGTTGGGCGGATAGCCTCCTTCAGGCGCTTCTCGTTCATAACGCGGCCAGGCTGTCCATCCAAACCCAAACCAATGCTTGCATCCCTTGCCGAGGCGGTAGCAGCGCGCGCAGATGTTGTAGTCGCCCCCGTCGCAGCGGGCACAGTTGTAGTGAAGTTCGTATTGTATGTCGGCCTTGTTGCAGCGCTGGCACGTGATGTTCGGCTCTGTGTAGAGAGTGGGCGCAATGGAAGAAGCGGCCGAAGTCTGCCTCGACCGAGGCTCGTGGAGTGTAATGTCAGTGGTAGAGCGGGAAACTGGGAGAGAGGAGGCAGTCGGTGGTGTGCCACTGCTGGAGGCACGGTGTATTGTGACACGGGAGGGATCGGTCGTGCGGCGTGAGGTTGGAGGATGGAAAGGTGTGCTGGCGGGCGTCGAGGAAGACGTCGGTGCCGCTGAAGTGCCCACGGTTGCCAAAGAGCTTGTCGGGCTCCCAGGGCCGGAAATGTTAAAGTCCAAGTCTCGAGGCGAACTGGGATTGGAGCTTGTGCTTGGCCGAACGTTGTCGCGGAACTGCTGGCGCGCATCGAGTCTGCTTCGTTGTTGGTGTTCCGACTGGCGCCGTCTTGCTGGAGGTGCCGTATCCGATGCCGATCCCCGTTCACTGCCGCTGTTGTTCTGTGAGTTGCTGACGACAGGGCTAGGAATTGGATGTTCCGCTCGTCTTGCTGAGCGCGAACTTCCCTGACTCGAGGATCGCTCATGGGGTGCGCGTCCACCCCGATTGGCTGCATCGATGAGACCGGGCCTTGAAATTGGCGGGCGAACTGTGGTTTGATGGATTGACGCCCCGCTCCCCGACCGGCCATGGTGTCTTCTGCGCGACGCATCCTCGTCGCGTATACGAGGACTGCGCGTGTGCTGTGGAACAAGTGGCGATGGTGAGTTGGCCAGCCCTTCTCTTGCCAGACGCTCTCTCCTTTCTCTGCGTTCGCGATGCCGCTCGGCAAGCCGTTCTGCCTGTCGCCGCCGCACCGCTTCAGCAATTCTTTCGGTAATCTCCTCCTCTTGTGCAGTGCCAATCTGGTTCAGGTCAAATCCCTCCAATACGAGCTCCTCCAGCACCTGCCGCACGAGATCCTCGTCCACGTCGTCGGTGTCGAGATCGGATGAGCTGAGCAAGGAGCGCAGACTCGATTGGTGCTCGACAGCCCTGGGCGGTCGTGCGGACCGGGGCGGCGATGAAGCTGAGTGGTTCCGGCTGGAGGGCGCCCTTCTGTCCCGGCTCCGGTGTGATTCCCTGCTCGTGGCGCGACTCGTAGTGCGGCTTCTTTCGCGCCTCCTGCGCTCCCTGGGTGGTCGCAGGCTGTTGGTGCCCGGCATGCTTGCATCTCTCAGGCTCAGCTGCTGGGCCTCCTCCAACATGCGCTGGTCCACGTCGTCGCGCTCGTCTCGCCGCCGCAGCTTGGGAAGCACATTGTCACCCGGCCTGTACTTGTTGCGGTCGGCCTGCTTCTCCTCGTCGGTTTTCCCTCTGTCCGGGTTGGCTTTGATGAAGATGTCGAGCAGCGTGGTGACGGTGGCATTGGGCTGGGTGGTGCGCACCGAGGCGCGACATGAGGGGCAGGTATAGGGATGTATGGATGTGGCGGTCGAGGCCTGGAAGGCGAACCATTCCTTCAGACAGGCGCCGCAAAAGGTGTGGAGGCAGTCGAGAAGCGTCAGCGGCTGGTAGAGGAGGTCGGTACAGATCTGGACAGGCGCATGTGAGTGAGTGGCCCAGCAGAGTGCATGTTGGCGACATCAAAAAGAAAGCTGTGTGGGTGCAAGGCCATGGCATGGCATGCGATGGTCCTGGGCTTGCCCCCACCTCGGCGCCGCCACCCAACGTGGAGCTCGACTTACCGAGCACGTTAATTCCTTCTCCAGGTCGCCGTGGACGCCGCCCGCGCGCTCGCCCTCAGCCATTTCGAGTCGCAGGCGTCTGGTCGTGCAGAGTCGGCATGAGGAGCGAGGTTGCGGCGGTCTGGGTAGCTGAGCTGTGTGCGGTCAGCATCTCGATGCCGCCATGCCAAGTTGGCGAGGCTCCGTCTGCAGCCAGAACTTGTCATAGGCTGCCAGCGCTGCAAGCTCACACCAAGTCATCCGCCTCGTATGCATCTGAGCTCCCCACATGCGGGCTGTTGCGCCGGCCCATGTGCAAGCCTGTCGACGCCAGGTCACGCGATTCTACCACGGCCAACCACGGTTACACATCTGTTGTTGCAGCTTAGTTGCAAATGGTGGTCGAGCTAGGTCACGTGCATTTTACAACGTTGAAATCGTCAAGAGCGCATTGCTGATTCGCTCGATTGAGATCCAATCAGACCAGGTCTTGGCATAAGGGTATTACGTGCTGATTACGCGCTAGTGCGCTTTAGGCCTACTACCACCACCTACCACTACTCACTACCTACTCATATTGCCGACCACTACTGCCTTCCACCGCTTTGTGCTACTGTCAGACTGTTAGGGATTTTCTGATCAAGGACCCGTTTGGATCACTGTGATAAAAGACTGTGATAAACTTGATGGTAGAAACTGATTGTATTGATTGCTCTGCGCTCTGTTGTCTGTAGGGGCGCGAGGGCGCGCCCCTTATGAGAGCTATCGCTATTGCTTTTTGTATTAGGTAGGCCGCTAAGTATCAGCCTCGCCTAGGGTTAGGTCTTGGCGATCAGCCCTGATTGGTTAGGATCACAGAATCCTGGTGCTCGAGTCCGCACCCGGATTCTGCCACTTATCTGACACACCCCCTTAGCTTAGAGCTAATTAGGATTATAAGCTGGACTATTAGTTAGTTAGATCGCTAGACGCTTAATTTGATCCTAGATCTTGAGCAGAGCCATTTTTTGGGTTGCTTCTTAAGTCTGGCTTTCTACTAGCCCTAGTTAAGTTAGAAATCGCTGCTACTGGTTTACTAGGAGAGCTTTAGTGAGTCCATCTGCTGTTATTTCTGTCGATTGGGTGTAGGTGACTTTGATCCGTCCGCTAGCGACTTTTTGCCTTAGCTAGTGATGGTGGATATCCACGTGTCAAAGCTTAGTTTAGAGTCTTGATATCTCCTGAGTAACTAGCCAGATAGTTTGTTAGTTATCGCACTAGATTTCGATCTAATCTAGTAGGTCAACCTTAAGTTCTTTAATTAGTCTTAATATAAAAATAGCTTCCTTAGCTACTTGTAATAGTGCCAAAAGCTTAGCCTTAGTAGTCGACGTAGTAACTGTATCTTGCTTGCTAGCTCGCTAGGCAATAAGTCTGCTAAATAGCTTAATCGTGTAGCCTTGAGAGCTTTTGCGATCTAGTGTATTGTTAGCAAATAATGCGTTACTAGCCACTTACATATTATTATTATTATTATTCTAGTTTAACTGTAAGGGGCTGCGCTCCGGGGAGCAATCGCGAGGTATACAAGAGGTTGTATTTGTAACGGGCTGAACGCCCTTTGGATAGCTCCTCGATGGAATCTCGGGCCAAGCTGCGCGCGCACCATCTGAACTACGTTCAGACCGAGCAGCGCTCAGACAACGCGCTCAGATACTCCGGCATAACCTTTCTCCGATAAGTAAATAAACACCACGTAAGCAGAGTAGATAGCTCCTTATCGAATACAACCTCTTGTATACCTCGCGAGTTGCTCCC